GAGAGAGAGAGAGAGAGAGAGAGAGAGAGAGAGAGAGAAAGACAGGGTGGGAGGAAGGAGGGCGAGCGCGCAGCGGGTTCCTCTCCTGATCCGCATCGCGCGCCCGTAACCTTCCGGCGGCCTCGGCTGTCCTCGTTGCCGATAACGAGCGGTCACGGGACACGGTTTTCCGCGCGCGCGGCCCAGAGCGGCGGAGCCAAAGACGGAGGAGCGGCGGTGGCGCAGGGGAACGAAGGAGACGGCGGAGACGGTGGTACAAACGACGGAAGGGGGACAAGGTTGGGAACGCGACGCGGCCTGAAACCGAGACAGACGAGGGGATCAATCAACGACGGCATGAGGAGACGCCTCGGGGCGCCCATCAGCGGCTACTGTCTCATCGTCAGCGAGCGGGAACGGCCACGTTGCCATCGTTATTACGCGACGCTGCTCGGCCTACGGACGTACGCGAGCGCACGGCGCGCGATGAGCGCCGAATACGAACGCTGACTGCCTGTCAGACGTGTCGCCGCGACCACCTCGGACGGGACTCCGCCGCTTGTCCCAGATCTAAATCGCGCTATCTCGCGCGAGCATTTACACAGACCGGGCAGACTCGGGCAGAATCTCAAACGGACACGCGCGTCCCCCTTATGGGAACGACGAAAAGACAGAATTCTAAGGGCTAAACAACATGCCTTACACACGCCTCCTACTGCTGCTGTTGTTGCTACTGTGCTAATACTACGTATGTAAACGAAAGTTGTAGAAAGATATGTAACGACAATGAAATCTTCCCACCGCACACATGTGGCGTTCAACATCTTGAGATAACTGCCGAGGCACAAAAGGGGAGAAACACGACGGCAACGGTTTATATGGAATTAGGAGAACGCTCGATGGATCCGCCCGGAATCTCGCGAACGGGAATTCGCGTATCCCACTTGGGCGAGCTCTCGCGAAGTTAGAACGCTCCACGGTAGAGGGGAGGTTTCGGAGGGGGAGAAAAAGCGCGCCGGGGGTCACCGACGGTAACTGGGACACCGCGGGCCGACGCGATCCTAGTTTCGGGGACAACGCGTCCCTTAACCTTCTCGGTGCTGAACACGCGTCAAAACTAAGGAAAGTTTTATAAGAAGTACGAGAAGAGAAAGGAATTTAAAAAGCGGAGAAAAAAAAAAGAGATCGTTTTTCGTGTCACGTTTTCACCGTCGATTAATCGTCATCGTTACTTCACATCGATTCACGTATAGGCATTAATAAATGTGAGTGATACATCGCAATCGTACGAAATCTTTCCATCCCTGTCGTTACTCTTGAAGCAGCGAAAAGATTTAATCGTATTTTAAGACTAAACGCACGTTCAGCACCGTCCGACACGTTGGAGTAAGTTTGGGGCGACCGATTACTGTACGTAGGAGTGCAGTAAAATATTAATACGTTCGATAAGAAAAGAACAAGTGCGTATACACGCATGTACATACGGGTACACACAGACACGCACACAAACGCGGAACCGCACGGATCTGTATTAGAAATACATGTAATATACATACATGTTAAAAATTTATTTAAGTACATCGTAGATAAAATATATATATATATATATATATATATATTATACGTGTGTTAAACCTTTTCATAGAGATCTAAATAACGACGTTGACAAATTACATAGTATATCACGTTAAGCGATATCTCGATCTAATCAAATATCGATAATTCGAGAGACCGCACGAAAACTGTACACGCTGAAAAGAAATAATATTCGCGGGAGAACGAAACTCTTAGAAAATTAAGAGCCGTACAATCGCGAGAAACGCGCGAACGAGCGAAACGTTAGAAACGAAGAAAAGTTACTTAAACAGGGTGAGAGAAGAATAAGGAGATACTTCAATACTTGTACCGTGAGACTCGAGCGGTCGTATGCGTTACATGTGGTAACGAGTCGAATACCTGAAACAATCTTAATCGATCAGCTGATCGGAATAAACTGCCACGAAACCATTTGCCAATTACGTTAACGGAAAAAGAAAGAGAGGAAGCCTCAAACGGGACTCTCTGTTTCTCGTCAATGCGCGCAAGTACTCGCGCGAGTCCACGGTGCTCAATTAGGCATATAAGTACAAAGACACGCGGGCGTGCAAATTATTTTTCTCGACCGAGGTGTGCATCCCTATACGTTAGTAAATAAGTGTATCGAGTCTGTCCAAAAAGAAGAAAAAAAAAAAAATCCCCTGAGTGAGGAAATCAACTCAGACGATCCTCAATCTACCTCAACGACTATCGGGCTCAGCTCCACTTCCTTCGAACGTATCCCTCGATAAGGAACCCTTGAGAAACAATCACGTATTGCGAATCTCTAAGTCTAACTGAAAGTCCTAGAACTTACAATCTTCCATCGACCTTCGACTATTATTACTTCGCATTCTTGGAGCAAGAGATACCCTTTCACGTTCCATCGCACAAATTACTGAAGTAGAGTTTCTCTCGATCGAACTCGAAACACTTTTGAGACAGGTGTTTCATTCCGTTCGTTATTATACTAATGCGAGTATTTTGGCGCTACTAAACATGAGGAACGCCAAATGAATATGTAAGATGTTCGATGTAAGCAGATCCACAGCCCTTGTGTGTTTTGAGTCGCGCGAAATTACGACTGTTGTTCGCACAATCCTCGAGCTTCTCGGGCGATAGATAAAACTCGATAGCAATCGTAATACCGAGTACCTGTCTTTGGAATCGATTGAATGCGGACGATTAAAGTTTCAAGCCGGCGCACGTTGTATCACGTGCGTGATCACGCATTGTGCAATTCGCAAAATCAAGAAAGTGATATGCTTCATCTCACGTGGGTGTGCGGACGTGATAATGCTGGCGGCGAGAGATGGGATTAGAGCGTCAAGAGGAAGAGAAAGAGAGAAGAAACAGCTGCACCGCGGGACGGAGAGAAGAAATCGCATCAAGAAAGACGCACAGCCATGTCATGGGAGTCTATCTCGTCCAGGGATTACCTCGGGCAAGTAAAATGTTGCTAATAGTATGAGATATCAATAGCAAATTTCAAATTAAGAGAACTAGATACATATCGATATAGTACATTTTAATGAATTCATTAAAAAACTGGAGTGTAAATATATATATAAATATATATATATATAAATTTAGATAAAAATTATTTATTGATTAAAAACTATTGTAGGAGAGAGGGAGGGAAGGGAGAGAGAAAGAAAACATCTAGCGTAATAATTTTAAAATTAAAAAAATTGTTTTCGTGATTTTTGTTATAAAACTTCTTATTTGTTTGTTTAACTGAAATTTAAAAAAATATATATATAACATTTATTAATGTTCTTATTTGTGCATGTTTGTTATTATGTTATATTTACTCAATATTTGGATTTGTTGTCATACATGTATTGTTATTCATTAATAATTAATTTATTAATAATTTATTATTAAGAATATATGCTATGTAAATATTTTGTTCATTTTAATTTTTACTGTAATAAAATTTAATTACTGTACTAATATATCAAAGTAATCATAGTTCTTTTATTAAAAAAAAAAGTAACGATTTATTGAAAATATGTTTGTACATATACTCTTTAAAAATTAAAATATAGAAACGTACGTTTAAGAACATATATAACAAATATATATATATATTCTTGTTTGAAAAATTAAATAAAACAGTTATTACGTCTGTCAAGAAAAAGTGTACATTTCACGTTTCTCTCTCAGAATTATAATTCATTAAATTTTTTATCCTCTTTTCCTAGCTTATAATAGCCAATTTATAAGTTGTAAAGATAATTGATAACCTAAACTCATTTCCTGCTTAAATTCATATTCACTTATATTAATATTACAGTATCATAATATGAGTTAACTAGCAATGATATTCCTCTATTTATGTACTTTCAAATAAGTAATTTTCATCTGGTTTTTACGAAAAATTATCCAAAACGTTAAGAATAATCTTTTACGTATAATACATCAGTAATACTAAAATGTTAATTAATTTATAATGTAATTACTTCTTTTTACATGTATTAGACAAGTGAATGTAATAAAAAGTACCACATATTCGTTGTAACAAAAGTGTTTCAGCAATCCTTTCAAATGTTTTTAATTTAATATATAATATTATATGTGGTAATATATAAACGATGTAAAAAAATGTAGTAAAAAAATAGAAATGATATATTAATGTCCAACGAAATGGTTAGCTGAATCTTTATTTTCTAATTAATACAACAAAAAAGTAATTATAGAATATTTTTTGTATATTTCTAAAAATCATATTTGATATTTAGAAAAATCATTAAAATAAGGAATTATGTCAAAAAAATCTATTTATTAATTATATATTTAGATGTAATAACACAAAAGTAATATCGCAAAATTGTAATTTACGATATTAAATATTTTTTCAGATTTTATTTAAGTAATCTTAATGTTAAGCAGAACGCATTGCAAGAATAAATTTTACGATGTAAAAATAAAGTTTTGCAAACCAGAAATTCTATGATCAGATACCTACAGCTGTGTAGGGACATTTTTCGCGCTATTTAAAGAAGCGTAGTTTTAGCTTGAAACGATTTTTACGTAAAGTCATTGCGAAAGATCAAGCAAGGACAGGATGCTTAAGGGAAGTGGAAGGCGTGCAACAATAGGGGATGACAAGGGTAGATGCCTTGTATTTCGTTGATCGACCTCGACGCGTGGAAGAACCGGGGGATGGTTCGATTTTCCACTTAGAATCGCAACGCCGTACCGTATCTCGTAGCTCGTAAATGGGTCAGCAAAAGAGGTCGCAGGTGCCTCGCCCACCTAGCGAACGTGGTGGGAAAGCGATAGAGTGTCATATACTCTTCGCTTTACACGATACGGACTTGTATATACACATACACATCGAGGCACAAACGAGCGGGTATGCGCGCGCGCATAGAGGCACGCGACTGTTTTGGGGAGACCTTTAACAGGAGTGGAAAGTAATTTGCGACGGGGCGTGATTCTCACGGGGTTTCTATCGAACATCAGGCACGAGATAATTCTGTTTTGTGATCGGTTGCTTTAATTACTTCTAACGTCACACGATTACAGATTAATAGCAAAATTTCCGATGAAAGTGTAAATGTTATTTACTGGTTTCCTTTAATGTGTACCAAATAAACTACAATATATATATATATATTTATTTATTTTTTAAAGTAGAAAGTTGTTATTCTCATTACGAAGAGAGTAGTTTTTTTCAAAGGACGATATTGGCTATTATAAATACCGATACTTTTTAGATACTTTCTAGAAAGATATGAAAGAAACGTGATCTAATTTTATAAATATATTTAATAAATAAATTATTAATATGTGAAATTATAAGTAAATATTTCTCTCGAAGGTTAAAAATATTTACTTGAAAAACCTTTTTATTTTTAAATGAAGATATATGAGATATTTTAGGGGATGCAAATGTTGATTAACATTTCAGTTAATGTTATAAGTATATATACGTAATGTTAAATAATACGTTTGATATCCTAATAAATATATAAAAGAAAAGTAAGAGGAAAGTGTAGTTGATGATCGCAATTTAGGGCGAGTATATTCTAAGGAAGAGTTTCACTATACCTCAGCACAAAAATGAAAGAAAAGATCGAAAGAAAAAGGGTACAAATAAATTTCAGTTTTCTGGAATATGGAGCAAATGTGCAGTGGTCGCATTGCGGTAGGGTAGGTAAGAACTGTGATTTTACACAGGGTGTCCCAGACATATCTCGCTACCTTTCACTAAGAGACCATTCGATCAATATTGAGTCAGTTTTCTTTTTCTTATGAAGAAGTGAAATAACTCTCTGGAATTGTATTATTAATTAAACAGCTTTTTGGGGGAGATTCAGTTGCTCATAGATGATAATAATGTCTTTTTTTATTCATGCAAAATTATAATTTGCCTTGATTTAACATTTTAGATATGTCAAGACAATTACCATCCAAAAGACAGAGCACGTTTTAAGAACTAGGTCACATGTAGTGAAATAAAATTTTCAGAGAGAAAAAAATTTACATCGCGACTGAGAATTGATCTAGAAATTCATAAATGAAGAGCGATGCGGTACTTACATATAGGATACCCTGTGTACCTTGTAACTTCCCTAACGTGCAGTTTGCAAACTCAACCTCTGGGACGTCAGCCAAAAGCGGTTTATCACTGCGTGCTTCTTCCGTTTGTCCTAGAAATAAATTAAGAGTTTGCGCATGGAAACCTATAGGAGGTCAGTTGCCCACATCTATCATCGAACTTGGATATTTGATACGCACTCGCGATATCGAGACGAAAAGTTTTACATCGAAAATGATAGTTCAATCATATTTCCAATACTTTTACGGATCGCTAATTGTAGTTAATAGAAAATGAACAGCAACTCTGGCTGAGATAATTTTTTTCGCAATAATAAGTTTTTTTTGCAGTGTTTTAAGATGCTTATTAGCATCATTATTACATTGATGATTAATGTAATTTGTGAAGTTATTTTCCAGTTTCAGTTTTTACGTTTCAAATCCGATAAATCGAATTGGCGCGCAGTTTATAGGACTGCAAAGTTTATTTGTAAATTTGCATACTAATAATATTAAGCACCAAGATCCGCTTCAATCAAAAATAAAATTGTCTTTCCTATTTGACTTTTTTATTCTTATCGGTCTAATTTTCACTTATAAAATTGACAATAATTCTAAAAATAATACAATTACAATATATATGTTTATGTTGTGTTTAATATATTGTAAATCGTATTATTTCTTAATTAACATTTAAACATTTTTTTGACAAAAACAATTTTTGTTTACAACTCATAAGTAAGAAAAAAGAACATTTTTACAAATTTTTAAGAAATATGCGATCTTAATGAAAAAGTAAGTGCGTATTAAGAAAAATATATAAATTCTTTCTATTATGATAATATTTAAATGTTTTGGTTATTTAAACTTATATAATGTAATTTTTATATATACTAATTTGCTGTATATTTATGCGGCGTCGAAACATGCAAAATATCGAGAAGAGAGAGAAAACATAAATAATTTTTTTTTCTAGATAATACAACATTATTATATTGTAAGTATAAATCATTCGCGAGTACAAGAAAACAATTTCAAAATTCCTATGGAACTTAAACGATCGATGATGTGAAAATATCACACAGCTCTTAGTTACGTCTTCTTTAAATTCTTTTCATCGGATTTACGGAAAAATATGGAATTCCATGGCTTATTTTCTTTCAAGTTGATCTTTACTATTTTTAAATCGATAATAATGATCACCATCTACCAAACAGATTTGACGTTTATAAATCAATTAATACTTTCGAGAACTTTATAGCGAATATTGGACTTGTAAAATTGAAAAACTGCGAAATATATCAAATTTATATAGTAATATCAAGTGGTTAAAATATTAAGTAGCCGATAATTGTATCACTTATTTAAAAAGTTAACTTGTGTATCCATTCCGTGATATGTAATATATATATCATTGAACATTTCAAAAATTTACAGCGGATCGGCGAGTCATCAACTCTCGGCGACCGCACTGCTGGGTAGCCCTGATGGGTCGAGACATCCACTCGATGTCTGCGAATTCACCGAAGAGGATTATCGACATCAAAATGGCAACGGTAATAATGGTCATTACCAAAATAGATCGGGTATATGGGGTTGTTTCATAAGCTGCAGAAAACGGTTCGATCAACAATTAGCACGAAGAAGGGTGAGCATCTTGTAAATGTATTATTTATTCTTTTTAGTTCACGCGTAGAACAAATAAAAATGAATAATTAAATTTAGTATATTATATGATATCACCATATCATATAGACATTTTCAATACACATATAAGAGTTTTACTACAAAATTACATCTGATGATAAATTAGATAAATTATAAAAAGATATAGTATATCAAGCTTTTAATTAAATTGATATATTAAGCTTTTAATTATGTTAACACACATTAAGCTTTTAATTTAATTAAATATATTAAATTAGTAATGAATTAACTAATCATTTGATGAAACATATTGTATTATAAGACAAGTTATAAAAATAAATAGATAGGTAAAAGTACGAATACATGTAAGAAATATAAAAGAGCATAAATTCTTCAAAATAATTATCGGATTTTTGTTATATTATTGTTAAGTGATATGATATTTTGTTATATATTTTATTACACAATATAACTAATATGAATAATTAAGTAAAATATTACACAAATGCATCAGATGTAAGTATCATGTTTGCGATAGATATAAAATCGTCATTATTTATTTGATTTATCATGTTTTAATGCACGTTTCATTTCTATTCAAGTATCAATTTATTAATAAAGCTCTTACTTCGAAATGCGTGCCAAGTGTTTTATCTCAAAACGTAAGAGGCGATTATAATTTTAGACAAACGCGCTTAGAAGCGGAATTGGCTGCACGCCACGATAACACTTACGGAATTATTAATGATCTTACAAATTAATTCAATTATAATTGATTCTTTAACTGTTACTCGACTATTAACCATTGAATCCGTTTAATATGTCAAAGCGATCGAGGGTGTAATATATCAAACGAGTAACAGTATCTGAAGGCCCTCTCAAGCAAACGACAGGGCATGACGGCTACATAACGAAGCGTATTTCGCGGACGAGCATGCTTTATCGGTCACTGTCAAGTTCACGATGTGCATGCCGTAGCTGCGGTCACGCTATCCTTTCGTAACCACTAAAACCGAAGTACCGGTCATACTGTGTTTATCGTTCTGGATGCGTTTCACTCAGAGAAACTTATGATTTCGCGTCTGGCGTCTGACAGCTTATTCATGATGCCTGCTTCATGTAGTAACAAGCGTAATTTGCGTTTACGTTTTCATCAAAGCTACACGATATCTCAATCAATATATACTATAAAATTTACTCTTTCATTGAAGTTACACGATATCTCAATCGAAATACGAGGTGTGAAAAAGCATAAAATTCATATTATTATTTATGGCAATATTCATCCAAATAGTTTTATCTTTTTCCAGTTTTTATACAAAACAGCTGTAAAAATTTAATGTTTCGTTACATTTTCACAATCGTTACAATTTTAATAAGTTGTTAAACCATCACAATTTAAAAAAATTAATTTTAATAAAGAGAGCGAGAAATGTCTCCAGGATAATTGAAAATAAATTCTGCTTCTTTTAGTTAATAATGTTAATGATTACAATAAGCATTAAAATTCGTTCGTGTAACTTCGTGTGCAACCTATTCGTTTTTTTTAAATCACATTTCTCAATATTTTCTATAAGATTGCCGAGATTATCACAAATGAATAGGTTCGCATATCAGTAAACCTTCGTTTCGTTGTAAGTCTATAATTTTAATGAATTTACTTCGATCGTGTACACGCACATGAATTCATTTTTATATATTATATCTTACATGGCTATTTATATTTTATTGTAAAGTTTAATCTACTAGGGACAAAGTTCATGGTCAAATCGATACGGCCTTCTACCTTTGCCCGTATTATCTACGCTAAGGCTATTGCTGCGTGATAAAAACCATAATATGTACCATGACTTCTTCTTTCTGAATGAGGAAGTTATTTATTATTCGATGTCTGTTTTACAAGACGTATAATTGAATAATATTGTTCAATGTAAATATGAGCTTATTTAAACAATAAGTAGCAATTCAAGTAAATTCGGTATAAAATACTGAATTCGATAATATATCTCTCAATTACGTGATATAATTCCGCTTTCAACGTACGCGTTACGAATTAATTTTTATATAATTCCAGTTATACGAAATAATATTAAGTTTTATAGTAATAACTAAGCAATTAAATCAAATAATGATTTTTAAAAATAGCAAAAAATATAAAAAAAATTTACGGAACATCTTTCACACATTTCATTCAATTTATTACACAAATTGAAAATCAATCATTTCTCCACGACACCTCAACTTTACAACCTGCGCTATACACACGATTACGATTTTATTTTTATTTTTATTACTATTTTTTACTCTTTTTTTTACTTTTTGACTGCTAATAATGTACATATGATATATAATATAAGGACTTTATCTTTTCTCGCTGTATCAACCGAAGAATAGGTTATTGATGTTGAGACTAAAAATAAGATGTGTGGTTTTTTTATAAACTTTATGTAAGTGAGCTGAGATGTTTTCATTAGAATTTGGGGAAAAATTTTATTTTATCGTTTCGTTTATATATGAATTAATAAGTATTAAAATTTATTGCATAGCTGAGAGTGACTAAGTCCAAACGTACCATGTATTATATAATAAACATACTTTTTTGGAAGATTAATTATTTGTTTTTACTTCGCATCATACGAGCAAAAAATGTTATACTAATTAATAGAAATATTTTACTATTTATTATATAAACTGTTTTTTTTTTGCAAAAATATCCAATCGCAAAAATAAAAACTGATCAATTACTTAAAAACCAAATTAAGATAAAAAGATTTTATTACTTGTAAAAAGTACCTATTACTTTACTTTTCTACAAAGTCACTGATTCTATACAGAAGTCCATCGCCTGGAATAGTTTGTTTTCAACTCTTCATTCTTCTTGAACCTTTGAAAATCAAGCTGTACATCTTGAGATGAATAAAACCTTCGGATGTGTGGATTGATATTAGGAATCATTTACTTTCACGACAATAATCAAGTGTGAACGTTGTGCTCATAAAACGCAAAAAAGCGATTCAAATAAAAAATGTTGGGGCATCTCCTGTTCAGATTATACTTTACATCAAATGAATTTCACATTTTCTTTCATCTCAAAAAGTCGTTTGATTTCCAACGATTCAAAGAGAAGTTGGAAGCAGCAATGCTAAACTTCCAGGCGTCACATTTTTATGCAAACGGCGTAAAAAAGTTTGTGCCCTAGTATTTAGAAAAAAAGAACAGTACATATAATAGAACGACCATATAGAATAGGCACGTAGATGCTTATTTACCAGAAAAATAAATCTTTTTATAATTTTTCTTTTTCTGACCAAGCAACGCTCATTTTTAAAACACGCTTCATACAATGCCCTTTTTAAAACATTCTCTTTTTTAAAGAGAAAATGTTAAATTTTGTATACCTCTTTTTGGAAGAATTACATATGAATTATATAATATAAAAAATTATACACAGTTGAAAAAAGTATGTTAAATTTAACATAAATCGCGTGTCCCAAACGTCAACTTAAATTTTTGTGTTAATTTAACATAATGAGTATGTTAAATGGTAACACGAATGGTGTTTATATTTCAACAAAAATGGAATGTAATCTTGAATAAAACTTGAAAAGAGTTATGTGTACAATCAACATAATTATTAGGACAAAATTAACATATAACAAATGTTCTCTAAAAAGACGATTCGCGTAACAACGCCTGTCCATTCCTGTTATAGAGTATAATCAACACCCTTATATTCTGTAAATTTTAACATATTTACTAAATACGTGGAAATTGTGTTATTTTAAAATATTTTTTAAATCGTTTCAATAACTTTAACCAGCAGATTTTTTCACAAAAATACACAAATTTTCCAACTGTGTATGTATAAAAAGGTATATACTGTGTTCCGTGAAATTACGTTGTAAATTATAAACAACGGGCTTTACACACAATCATCGTCTTATAATTATCGTCTATTAATATTACCTTTATTAATAGGGTAATTTCCTCTTTGGCTTGCCCATATACGCTGTTGAACATTGCATCTCCTCTTAAGAGGGCCGTTATTAACTCAATGTCAATTTCATGAGCATCGATTCCAAGGTCTCGTTAGTCTCTGCGGCCTCTGACTATAGTTGATATGAGGAAATGTGCTGGATATCCGATAAATACTCCAGATACAAGGACTCGTGTAATCGGCGGAAATTCAAGGACTTATTGAAATAAGATGTTAAATCACGTGATGTAAATTTCATAGACGAATAATTTTGAAAAGACGACAAATGATTAATAAAATTTTCTTTTCTTTTCCACGGCGTTTGCGCTTGTTGTTTAACATCCTTTACGAAGACGATCGTTGCGCGATAAATAAATCAGTGTGTGCAGTGAACACGACAAGTGCTGAAATTTCATTATTTTTGACGCAGGTGGAGCAAGGCTTAAAATTGTACAGAGCTCATAAACAACAAGCCGCGGTTAGAAAATGGAGGGTCGCCTTGAAGAGTATCAGACATCGCGAGGATAAATTCGCTCTTCTCGGTTACTTGTATCAGGCGTACATGGATTGGGGCAAATACAAGTAGGTAGTATAAGTTGTAATGTACGTCCTTTCCAATTTGTTATCGTCTTTGTTCGCATTATTTGCATATACGTAAAGTGAAACGGGTGTTTTCGCGTTATTCAAAAAGCAAACCGGACATTAATTTTTATATAAAAGGTATTAAGTATATGTATATACTTATATTATTAAAACACACATTTTATGTAAGACTGTTCGATATCTCGTTTAAAAGTAGCTAGAGCGTCATAGTTATCCAATTCTATAACTATTTTTATCCCTTTATTTTCCTCTTTGCAAAGTTGTTGCCCCTTCCAATTAAAGCCGCGATTCTTCCATCGTGTAATTTTTCTCCTTTCAGTGATAGCATCGAATTCGGTAACATGCAATTATGCATTTCGGAGGAATTGGATTCGCCGAACATGCGGGCAGAAGCGTATTTAAACTTGGCCAGAGCTCACGAGAGATTAGGCGCCCTGGATAGAGCGTTAGATTACGCTCGGCACAGGTTTGAACCTTTTTCTTTCGTCATACAACCTACATAAACGATGTAATGTCAATTTTCAAGAATCTTAATATACGCGCGTAACGTACGTGATGTATCTATATATTTGTCTGCTATTATAACACAGTCAGTAGTTATTAATAAAACGTCGATACAAGAGAAATGCATCTAATGAGCAACCCTCTGATTACGAACTCAGCGGTGATGACAGTTCTAAGTTCGAGAAAAGCTAATCGAGTCCTTTGTAAATCAATAGCCGAATGTGACGTCAATTGTTTAAGCGATGATTTGACTACCTATACGCGTGTATGTGTGTATTGTGCTAACATCGATATAATTTTGCATTCTCGCAGCTTGTATAACGAGTGCGATCAGTGCGCGACTGCTGGATTAGTTCACTTAACCGTAGGCAGAGTCCACTTAGAGCTAGCAGGATTCTGTAAAGCCTTGGAAGCATTTCAAAGAGCCCACAAAATCGCCCACTCCATTCAAGATCCCTCCTTAGAACTGCAGGTAATTAGGTCCCTTTGTTTGCTAGTTTTCTTCTTTCGCACGAGTACATAAGCGCGCATTATGTCGTGTTGTTTGTTAATTAACGGCGCAGGAACGATTAGAAAAGCAGCAGTTGTGTCTTGCGAGATAAACTGAGCTCGTTTTTTTTTTTTTATATCGCCTGATTTTCATTTCATTTCTCGAATAGTCAGTTAGCTGCATCCTTAATTCACTTGTTCGTGTACTTGACGCTATTTGGATATTCGAACATATCAATTCTCTCTGTAATGATTAATATATATTTTAAAAAATAGTAAAATTATATTTTATAACGTAATGTATTCATAATAAAGCATTCTTTGTATATTTCTGTCTTTATAACATTCATTGCTAAAGCAATAAAAAAGTTTCCCATCCTTCTTTTATAAAATATGTTCGAAGTAAGGCTCAGATAATTCATTTATTGATAATTTCTTACTCTATCCATCCAGGATAGTGAATACGTACATCGATATTACGTGTGATTTCTTTTCCAGGTGTACGTTGGTCTGTCGGAACTTTTCTGCAGATTACACGACGCGGATAAGAGCGCAAGATACGCGGCGAGAGCTTACGATCTCTCCAGAAGTTTACAGCTCGGAGATCTAAATTCGCGTCATCACAGGGCGGCGTTACTACAAATGGCCGCGGCGCTCAGAAAGAAGGGCGAGCTTGGCGACGCTCTTGATTACTGTTCGGTAAAGTTCTAACTCTAATTGCTCAAGAAAAAAAAAAGAGAAAAAACTTACTTTCGTACTATTTTCGTTCAGATCAAAGACAGAAATTGGCGCAAAACTGTGTTCTGTTAAACAGCCTAAATCAAAATATTTCTTAGAAAATATTAAAAATTTTTTCACGAACGTTAATTTTTAATCTCGCAACTTTTTTTTTCTCAAATTGTGCGATAATGTATGCGTCGGAAATATTAATCTAATATAAAATAATATATTTGAAGAAAGAATTCCAAGTCATGTCGCGTAATTCATAGTTTCAGAGAAGATTGTATCAATTAATATCATATACAATAATACGATTTAATCGATAATATCAATTGTCGTTTATGCATTATGCACAGGAAGCAACACGGCTATCGCTAGTTGCTGGTGACCAGGCCAGTTACGCTCGAAGCATCCGAATTCTGGGAGACATTTATAGAAAGAAATCGGATATAAATGTGAGTAATTCGTTATCTAACTAAGTTATCAGTATATCTTTTTCCTTTAGCTTTTACATTAAATTTTCTAGCAATGATGTCGTGAATGATAATATTCTTTGATTTTTCAATCACATTAATTACAGATACACAATTATATAAATATGTGATTCTCATGCATAAAGTTTATTCTAAAAGCGAAATGACAGTTTGAAGCTAAAGTCTTCTCTCTTTCAATTATTCAATAAAGATTGAAATGCATCATCACGTAATAAAATAACTCCATATATTTATTTGCATATTGCATCAAAAACGTTTCAACAAATAAATTTTTTATCGGTATTCACACCAAGTACTACGATGCTATCAGAACTATTCACAGCCTCATTGTTCATCCCAACATTGTTACAGTACTGTCATCGCGATAAAAAAAAAATGCCATAACTGGAGCGTTCCTTTGCATGTCACGCATGTTGCAAAAACGGTTTTAACACTGTATCACACTTGTAGCACATACCGCTTTCGTTTTGTTTTGTTGCTGCAAAATTTTTTGAATGTTGTTAAAATGTGAGTGACAAAATTTTCAAAACATCCACTTTCAAACAACGCAGAATTGAAAGCGTGATATTTGTATATGCAATAAAATATTTAATTAAGATTTGGAAATATTTCTATATATAAAAGAAATATAAAAGGATATTTTTAATGTTTATATTATATAGGGTGAATCAAAATACGTGATATAACTAGAAAGGGATTGACTATAGTTAAAAATAAGCTGAATAAAATAATTTTTTTTCGTTATGATTCAAAATTATGGTTGAGAAATAATAAAATAATTTTTTTAAAAGACTCATTTTTAAGAAGAAAAGAATAATTCAAAAGGATTTATATAATATAGGATTAAATATAATAAAAAAGAGAGAGAGAGAAGAGATAGAAATAATCCATTATTTAATTTCGCAGAATATAATTCTCTGTTCCAAAACGGTTAACATTTTCAATAATATTTCAACTTAATAAGAAATGTGTAAGAAAAATGATTAATCAAATAAATCTATATAATATTTACATATACAGTAAAATAAATGTTACCATCACAAACACTGATAGCTTCATTTGCTACTTGCGCGAATATGCCGGCGTATATGATTGCGCTTTTAAGTACTAGAAACTGCCTGTTGAACCGTCTGTCTCTTAGTTGGCGATCGTGATGCATACGATTAGCCTTTAGTTTACGCATTGCGTATATCAGTTTACTTTCCAGAACGATAACATCGGTAAGATAAAGATGAATATTTTGCAGAAAGCATTCCGACAGTACGAGAGCGCGATGGGCTCAGCGGGTACGAGCGGTGATCGAGTATGCCAGATGGAAGCGATGGACGGCGCGGCGAGATGCCTGGAAGCTCTTAGGCTTCAACACAAGATATGCAATTGCAGACCCCTCGAGTTCAATACTAGGCTCTTGGAAGTGGCGGGATCGGTTGGCGCCAAGGTAAACTGTCAATACAGATCGCGGATTGTGATGCACGTTCGTTCCATTTCACGTGAAACAAAGAGAAAGAAAGACACAAAGGGGGGGGGGGGAGGGTTAAGGAAAGGAGCGATGTACTGCGAAATCAATTTCCTTCCTTTTACCAGACGTGAAAAGTTTTCATCTTTCCTTTAATCCTTAAAGATCAACGGAATTCGAAATAAATACGAAGTTCCTTGGTTCATTGATTTGGAACGAGTCGAATGTACTGAAAGGAAAGTTAAAATTCATTGATTTTTTTATGAATTAACAAAATTTCGTCATGTTCTTATCTCACAAATTTCGTTATAATCGAAAATAACTCTAATTTGAAGAATAAGATAAAATTGAAGATCTTCACCGCGCTGAGATTATAAAAAATTACCTAAAATGGGACTTTTAAGTTGATAAATTTGGAATAAGAGCATCAGTAATTGAAAAAGCTACGATCGAGGATAGACACGGATGCTTTGCATGCATTTATTTATCTGTACATCTAATAATAAATACTACCATGAATTCCAATGGAATACCAAAAGAGCTATCGGCATCACAACGCCGTTGGTACATCGCACAAGTATTCCATGCATATATTATCATACTCGCACCGCGGGCATCGAATTTTCGCGCTATTTGTGTCTACGAATCAATGAAGCCGGTTTTCCATTTCGACGTTGTGCACGCAACAGATAACGTGAAATATACGCAGCTCGCTGCTGCCCAAGACTCGATAAAGATTATTGTTAATCTGTGAATTAAAATGATAAGGTCTTTCGCTATTCATAATTTATGCTTTCATATCGAGACTTAAGAAGAATAATTTAAGTTGTGTTGCTCTAAAAAAATGTTAAATTCTTTCTCAAAAGGAAAAAAGAAAAGAAACAAAGATATCCCTAATAACATTTTAATACTACTAAAAAATGTCAGTATATCACTTGACAAACCTAGATGTAGATGATTATCTGCGAGAAAACTATATGTTCAAAATAGAATACATAACAATGTACAAGATTATACGAGAATCTGATTATTTACAGTTTCTGGTGCGAACAGTCAGATTCAGATTGTCGAGAATTTATGGGTCTTTGGGAGACGACGAACAGAAAGGACATTATGAGAGATTGGCGGCTGCGATGGAGGAAGATTTAGAGTTACGATGTGGGAGCTGCAATGAATCTTTCGGTCTGGAAGCTGATTCTCTGGAAGCGTTACCTTGCTCTCACATATTACACGCTCGGTAAGACACGCGGAAAAACTGGACTGTTTCTCTGTTAAGAAACAGAACTAAAACAAGAATCAAGTAATAATGTTGTGTAAAATTCTAATTGTCAATTCGATTTTCTTTCGAAAAACTATTTTTACTATTTTTATTTTCTCGTGCAACATACGTTTGGCAGATGCGCATATGACATCTTAAAGAGACGTGACAAGAAGAAGAAACGTTTATGTCCCGATTGCCACAAGTCTGTCAGTTCACGGCTGTACCTGCATTGCGAAGATCCTCACGGCATGAATACTCTAAATCATAGTTCCTTGAGCCTGGCGTCATTGAGGGCCAGCAGCCTAGCAACACTTGAGGACTGTCATGCGACGAGTAGTGTTTAAAAAAAAAAAAAAACACGCGACATATTTCGGTTTATTTTAACGCGTTGGTATCCGCATGCGATTAGATAACTTTAAGGAATCATAATGTGGAAGATGAGAAAGCCAAAGGAAAGTAGTATGATACAAAAAGATTTAATGGCAATAAAAAGTGCACGCCTCGATCTAGATTGTTGAATATAATTACTTCCCCTCTTCCCCAACAAATCTGTCATACGATTTTATTATCTATATAAAATAAAGCAACTCTAGATATTTGTCGATCTGTTTTATATACTAGTATATACATAACAAAAAATCATGTTTTCTGATGATTATAAAAACGTAAAATGAGAAAATTTGATCATATAAGTACATATATTCATATTATATACTTGATTAAAAATATGTACATATATATGAGAGTAAATATGATGAAAATATTCAAGAACTCTTAATATAACAATATTCAACATAAATTAAAAGGGCGAAGTAAGAGTCAGAAGTAAATTACATTTAAAATAATATTAAAATGTTAACATATTTAATTCAAAACAATAGAAATATTACAAAAAATTGCTTAAAATTATAAACATGATGCCCGTTACTTAAGCAATTTTTTGTAATATTTCTATTGTTTTAAATTTTGAATTAAATATGTTAACATTTTAATATTATTTTAAATGTAATTTACTTCTGACTCTTACTTCGCCCTTTTAATTTATGTTGAATATTACCATATGAGAGTAATTTTTTCTTATTTCTTTAAATTTAATTTTTTTGTAAAAAAAAACCCATATATAAAAAATTTATTATTTTATCATTATTAGTATTATTTGTATCAAATAGTAATTTAAAGAAGCTTATAATGGAAACATAAATAAGTAAAATACATAAATATCATAAATATATTATATGAGTAAAATATATACTATACATAGGGCTGAATTATCAAAACGCATTATTTCTTCCACAACGAATTTATATTTAAATTAATTTTCGTTATTAGTCAAATAAAGAAAAGTACCCTATTAACATATATATATATTTTTTTTTTTTGATTCGCCTAATGAAAAATGGTGAAATTATTACTGAATCAAATTAGGATACCTATATCGTGGAACAAGTCAAAATGAATTCCGATCGGAATTATTCAATTATTTCCTAGATTTCTATTGTGTTTTCTAGGGTAAACGAAATATAAATCCGATTAGAATACATTCTAATATAGATACTCTATTCGCGGCGCTTACTGCACTTTTTGCATTAAAAATCTGTGCTTTCTCTCTGTTCAAAATATCCGAATATATATATTTATTTCATTTTAAGTACAAAAATTTTTAGAGATTTCAAAGAATTCCAAGCAGCGCGAGCAAATCAATTGTCTTCCTAATCAGAGTGCACGTGCAACAAGTAAAAAGGTATGTTATATACATAGATATAGATATCATCAATAAATATCAATCAAAATACTATTTCTCTCAATTACGTATTTTCGGAACCTCAGAATATGAAATCACGAAAATGGATTGTTTAGCAAATTAGATTAATTTACAAATTAACGTGTATACACATACCTCGTTGGTGTTGCAAACAAATTATCTCATTTGCGTGATTCCATTTTCGATTCGTCACGTCGCGATGCGCGGCGAAAGAAAACTCGCCGATGACTCGCATTCGCCCGCTGCGCACTTCGCCCATTGCGCATTCGCCTTTCTCGAGTCTCGAACTGACGTTAGCCACGAGCAATCGCGAGTTATGGCATGGCCGCCATGGCAGCTGATGCCTCGCGTTGCTGTACTTGACGTTTAGTTGGAACATGTCATTTTGCAGATTTCATTTTCACAAATGGCAGACACTTTTTTCGGTTTCGATACCACGCTCGGAGTAAGTACGGAAACGGTATCGTTCGTTCGCGCGCAGCTCGGGCCCGTTTTTGTGCGGAATTCCAAACAGGACACGCGCTCGTTGAAACCTTTCCCAATAAACAGTCGCGTCGCGCGGCTCCGTAATTGCAGAAAGCAAGTTTCCGCCGACGCTTGGTAGCCTTGATTTGTAACAACGCATTTCACACGCATTTGCCTTTGACTGCATCTTGTCCACAGCCGCATCCCCCTTCCTCCGAAAAATAATAAAATCGTACCTCCGCGGGGGTTACGTTACCTCGTCTAACCTCGTTTGTTTTCCTCGCCCAAGGGTCACTAACATCGAGCGTCGCAGATTCCGGTTGAGCTTATTGATAAATTTGCGCGTACCATCTTAATTAAATTTCATCAATTTGAATCTGATGTTGCATTAGTATCATCGCTCGAAAACGTAGCTGTGACTTTTGTAATCACTTTTTACAGGTCCTTTTTCTCTTTTTCAAAAATTCTTGTTGATTTCTTTCTTACCTGATTTTCTCGATACTTTCACGTTTCAGTAATAATGATTATTCGCTTGATATAATTAGGAGAACAATCTAGAAGATGGTGTGGATTGTCCATTGGAAGAAGATGAACTTGAAGAAGAAGAGTATGATGCACTGAATGATGAAACATTCGGTCCTGATGCTACTATTAGTGATTGGGAAGAAGATCATGAGAAACTTGCCGAAATTACTGAATCAAATCGCCTTCATAATCAGAATGCAACAAATAAAAAGGTATTCTGTCAGGATTTTCTGTAATTTTTTGTTAGAGACACGGTGGTCTCATTTGCAAATGTATAAAACCTTCAATTTTAACACGAGGTCCAAACGATCTATTAGAAGAGGTTATCATGTCAAAATTACTTTCAGTAATTTGGCATTGGCTGTGGCATTCAGCAAAGAAAGCAGCTTTGCAACTATTGTAAAATTCTTCAATACCACTTATTTCTTTTTTTGATTCTTTATGGATCTAAATTTATAAATTTATAAATCACATTGAAGAACAACAATTGTAAAACAAAGTATAATAGAATAAGGGCCAGTTATAACAATCAATTTAAATTTAAAAAATAACCATATGTAAATAAAGTAGCAAAGAAATTTAATATAATAAATAAATAATACATACGTTTTGATTCTGTTTGGGTTATTCTCAATGTTATAGCGCGTTTCACTGGCAGAGCTAGTGCGCACTCAGTGTACTTATTAAAGGCATTAGCCTTTGTACACAAATCGACATAGAAATATATGTTTCATAAAAATAAAAAAATGATTAAAACCATAAAATATTCAATATATTTTATTGTGTTATTTGACAAAATACACAATAAGCATTTTATCATTTGAGATATCTTACTTTAATATCAGATTAGAGTAGTGTATAACGACTTTAATGTGCACTGAGTGCACACTAGCTCTGCCAATGAAATGCGCTATTACATTTAACAATTGTAAAGCTGCTTTTTCTGATTGCAGCTATTGTCTTTCAAAAGATAAAAATCAAATGAAATCTGATATAAGTAGATTTGAACCTAAATTTTTGGTATAGAAAACAGACTCTAAACTTTCTATAATCATACACACAATCACTATATAATCATCACACAAAATACTATTTCCTTACATTTTTCACAAATTGTTAAAGTTTAAGAATATAAAAAAAATTCATAAGTGTTTAGCAGTTACAAGCTAGATTTATTTTGATAAATTAGTAGAGAAGTAATAAGATATGAATTCTTTCAACATAAATGTCTTGCTAGATATTTTTGTTTATGAGCTTTCAAAAAAAATTCAACAATGATATAATTTGATTAGTTTTATAAATCTTTTATATAAATATAACTTGTAAATAATTTTATATAACATATTTTATTAAAAGCATACTTTTTCATTGTTTTCTTATTACTATCTATAAATTGTTAAACAAATAATTCCATTTATTAAATCTTAAACTTTATATATACTTTATATGTTTTACAGGCTATTTCTAACATAATCGAAGATAATTTATCACATTTGGTATTGGATAAAGAAGGAATAGTTCCCCGACCTGGGGTTTGGGGTAGTCCTTTGAATTTATCTTTTCCAAAAGCTCAACCTCGATTATCTTTACCAAATGCTTGTACAGTGGAAGAATTGGAAAGAGGGCTTATTGCAAATAGGCCACCACCAGGTCTCAGTAAACCACAAACGCAACAACAACAGAAAAAATCTGAAGGTTCACTTCTTTTTGAGGCTCTCTCTTTAAATGAGAAGCTTCAGGTTAATGGCCTACCTCCACGTTTTCCTCCAGGATTGAATCTACCTGGACCACATCCTATAGTTTTGCCCAGTATAAGAGCACCACATCCTCAATTGATGCAACATCCTAGAATATTAGGCTTAATTAGTAAGTATAATATTATTTATATAAGTATTGTATTAAAATATATGCAGATTTGTATATATTTGCAAATTATATGAGTTGATAAATACTCGGCAAATATAAATTTCAGAACCTTTTTTTAAGTTACATTCTAAATTGGATATATGTATACTCAGTGAACGAACAGCGAATGTGAAAGTTTGTTGTTATTTGTTACATAAATGTCGAACAAGTTTAATTAGTATGTGCAGCAAACACCGAAATTGATCGAAAACTGGTATTTGGTGCAATCCAGAAAAAGAATAAATTGCTTTTAAACATGAATGTTTAGACATTTGCGTGTGTTGTTCGTTCTTATATATATCTAATTTTATTTATTACAATTAAAACGGTAATATGGTTGGCTATAATTATTTACCTTAATACAAAATATTATAAATGATTATAATTAAAGAATGACTGAATTTTAAATTAAATCTGTTGGAATATTTCCTGATATTGATTATCCTTGTATTAGATCAAGCTGGTACTGTGTTACGTTATCCTTCACCACCGCATTTAATGTCACATTTAATGCCACAACCAATTCCAAGGCAAGCTCTTCATGGCTCTTATGGTTTTCCTCCTGTGAGTTTCTTTTACAGATTATACATTATAATTATTATAATACAATGTTTTTTAAATGCATTTTTTATTACGTTTCAGCAACTACATCCTAATTTAGGAGGCCCACAGTTCCTTCGACCAGATCACGTGATGCCTGCATTTCCTAACAACCAAATCAATCATCAGCAACATTCTTATTCACATTTAGGAAATCAGAGAAATCAGAACAGATCTTACTATCATAATGAACAACAAATTGGACATCAACCATTTTTTAAAAATAATCAATATCCTCATCGTAATCCTCATGACAGAAATAATCAAAGACCTTATCATCATCAAAATTATTCTCACAACATTAACGGTAATGCTTCGGAAGAATACGAACACTCAGGAAAACTTGCTATAAAAGCTCATGAGAAGCAATGGTTAATTAATATTCAATTATTACAACTTAATACAATTCAACCGTATATTGATGATCACTATTATGTCGTATTCTGTGATAAACGGAATAAACAACATGCAAATCAAGAACAAAAAGATAAGAAGCACCATAATAACAATGGGTATCATAGGGATCATAGGTATGTTCTTTTATTTCTACAAAGCTTATATCTTCTAAAATTTATACTGGTATTACATTTCTATATTTTAATGCGTGAAGATTTACATTTTTGTGATAATATAATTTTCACTAAACATGCAATAACGTTACTTTTTTAATTATATAATTGTAGAATTTAAGAGAATAGTTTTTACAATGACCAATGAAATAATTAGAAATATCAAATACTTTTATTTATTCTGTACATAGATTGGTTATTTATTTCTTAAAGATTATTTATCTACATATTATTTATTAGTAGCCTTAATTTTTTCGCTTGGCTCTTAGAGATTGGGAACCAACACCTCAAGCTGCTTCAAGATCAGCATATACGCCAGCTCAATTTGAGAATTCATTAGGCAAACTTCATTGCAGCAGTGTGACAGCACCACGTAAACTTATCGATATGGATGTCGTATCAAATAGCGATTCTCAATCTACTCCTCAGTCTCAACAAAAGGACACTAAAAGAACACGACAATTACTTCTTGAAATTGAGAGAGTACTATCATATTCTAATATAATAAAATAAATAATTTGATAATGCATTTTCTATTATAATAGAGTGTTATTCTTTATAGCTATTTACACTTCAATTCAAACTTGAAGATTTGAGCAATCCACTTGCTTTAATTCCGGAAACTCAACAGCAACAAGAAGGAGAATCTGACTCAAATACAGCTAAAACTGAACCGGAATTAATAAACATGATTTTAACATGTATGCAACAATTAATACAAGATGATAAATTAGCTAGTATGCTAAGTATTCGAAAAGGAAAGGTAATTTGATGAATAAGAAATGTTGCTTAATATTTTATTATTTTAAGTATCTTGTATTTATATATATATTATATGTTAATAGGCGTTGCTACTGCGTTTTTTACCTCACTTGAATGCGACAGAATATAGTAAGCAGTTGAGAGAATTGTGGACTGCGATATTTAAAGGATTAGCCGTGATAGGCCGTAGAGATTGTCATATATTAACAGATTTTTATTCAGAATTTCGAAGATGGCTTGATACTGTGAAAGATTTTGATACTATATTGCGATTAGCAAGAGCATTATCTGACTCTGCTACTAATCATCCTGTTAAAAATAATAGCTTAACTTTTGCTCTTTTGAATAAGGTTAGTTTTATATATATATATATATATCTATATGTATATGTATATAATTGTAACTTATAATAATTATGAATCTTTCAACAAATTTTAAGTAAATACATATATATATATAATCTTATTTATCATTTGTTCTTTTAGTTTGGTGTATCTGCAATAGCAGCGATGTTCGAGCAAGTTGAACAATTGTGTGACACAGATGATTCCCTGCCTTCTGAATGGTCAAGTTTTGTAATGACGATAGTTGAATTGATTGGTGACTCACCGCCCTGTGTTGCACCTTGTCAACCAATTACTGCAAATACACTCAATAAACATCTGAATCGGATTTCCAGTTTAAAACTAGAAAGGTATACAGCGCTAGCGTGCTTGTTGACTGATGCCAATCCTTTACGATAGTCTAACGTTAACAAATTATACTTGAGCTTTTTTTTAAGGTTTGTCTTTTTTTAATGTGCGAAAAATAAATTATGCTAAAAAAAAAGAATAATACATACTGACAAATATTTTAATATAATTACTAATGTTATAAAACACACATCCATTGTGTATGATAATATTTCTAAATAGATGCCATGATTTTACAAAGTAGATTAAGTATCTGATGCGAAACATTAAAGAAAAAGAATAAAATTTATATATATATTATATATAAATAGAAATATTGTAAACATTCTGATGCACAATGACGTTTCTTACTTATATAATATCATATTTTATTGTATATTTTATAAACATAATCAGTTCAAATTCACAATTGCTAACATGGATTACAATATCGGAAGAAAAAGCATTAGATAAATTAATAGAGTTGCATGTCAATAATTTTTTTGGAATAGCTTTTTTAAAATTATGGTAAATTTTGATTTCTACTTTATGGAAAATTGGTGTCTGACTTTCATCGTGAGACACTTGAAGTTATCATAATCAGAGTTAGTAAAAAAACGTGTTTTTAACATGTTCTAAACACTTTAAATCATTCTTAATTAATGTTTTTAGTATATCTTAAATTTTTTTTATAATACGCTGTATTATTTAAAACGTATTAACATCAAAAATATGTTTAAAAAGAAGCATAATATTTTGTTCTTAAAAAAGGAAAAACCATTAACCTTTGTGAACCCTGATCACAATGCATTTCATTTACAATGATTAAAAATATTGATCTATTTCTTTCTTTATGAAATATATTGTATATAATGAAATATAAGTGAAAATGATAATTTCGAATGTCTTACCTTATATTAAACTGCACATCCTGTCTTCTTATTTGCTATATTTCATTTTTTTTTTATTTATATAATTAAATTTTATATTTGAATTTATATATTTAAATTTGTTTAAAAGTAAAAGCTTACTTTTTTGATAACTGTTGTCATTCAATTATTTTGGAACGTATCAATTTTTTTATGTGAGGATTTTATATCTATATATAGAAACAGTGATATTTTACGTGTATTAAGAAAGTATTTTTCTTATTTCTTTATAAAATGAATTTTGTTCAATAATATATTTTATTATACAATAGATATAGGACAACTGCGTTTACATTAGCATCTTTTTAATTTACGCTGTTAAATGTATCTTTGAAAGTTTAGTTTTGTGAATAGTTCGAAATTACTTTAAGGTTGAAACTGACGGAATAGCCCCGCTCTATTCTGTGCATATAAATATACATGTACATGATGATATTTATGGAAAATAAGATGGGATGTGTAAGTTTTCTCTTTTGTTTATATAAAAAGTAAATATCTATGTTATTATACACATTACATATTGTTGTATTATAAATGAAATCAATATCGCTAGAAAAAGAAAAGAACTTGCTATCAGTGTACAGATAATTTATATTTTGGAAATAAAAACAGATAATCATTTACACCACACTGTTAAGATGTAATAACAGAGATGAGAGTAAACAATTGCATAAGGTAGTTATCAGCAACAAAATTGTAGTAGTCTTTTTATAACATTTATATTATATATTAAGTACCAAAATTAAATTTCTATTAGTTCGGACATCAGAAGCATGTGACAACATAATCTAGATTTAAACAGTTATAGATTCATCAATTTAGGAAGTGTGGTCTCTCTTTCTTTTCTTATCTTTTTAATATAAAATAGTTGTTGTAGAAAAAGGTCAGACACACAATTTTGTGATTGCATAATGGAAAGAAGAGAGAAAGGAGATTCTGTAATTGCAGTGTGTGTTTGCAGTAAGAATTTTTAAAGATAATCTAAAGTGTTGTATGAGATGACATGGCCTTTAGAGAGTACTAAATAAGATGATTACTTTTTATCGCAGTTTAACTACAACTTTGTTTATGTACTTCTAGCTTGTATATAGACTGATATTATGGTATGTGAGAATGATGAATGCATTTTATAATCAAATATAGAAATATTTCGGTTTCTGACATGTCTGATGACATAATAATATTTTGCAAAAACAATTTACAGTTTCTTGTTGCTAGTTTGTAAGTCTTAACAAGTGTAATAATGATTATTGACTTGAGTAGCATTTTTTAGTTGCATGGATACACACATTTTGTAAAAAAAGTTATTAAAATCATGAAAGCGTCGCACGCCATTTTGTAAAAGCACAATTCAAATTTAGTTAAATATTTTTTCGCGCCAGTTCTTTTTTTATTGTAACGTAATTCGCTTTATTATCACTAGTTAGATCATTAAAAGTTAACTTAAAATACTGCAGCATTTCAGTTAATTACATTTATATAAGTTACGTTATCATATATAAATATATTATATCAGTGCGATTAGCTTATACGATTTAAATAATACATAATAGATAATGTTACATGATTTTCTTATTTCTACTATTAGGTAACATCGTAAATACAACTCTGATGATTATTAATTAAATGAATTGAATAAATTGAACACAAAAGACGAACCAAACAAATCATCTGCATATTAATGTTTACGAATGATTTATTAATGTATAATTCAAAATTTTGCTAATCAGTCTTCTCATTAATATTAGCCTTTCTCATTATTGCCGAGTTGAGAAATTAAAGTCTACGTTTTTAAGCAATGCTGAAAATCTAGAAGATACATAAATGATCCCGTTGATATGTAAACAAATATGCATGTCTGAGAAACCCAAAAGAGTTACATTACATTCTTCTTACTATGTAACTATGGGCTCGCACTTCTTTAGGGTAAATTTAATTGTAGGTGCAGCGTATTTATGAATTGTTTCAAACACTATAAATTTTTAAATAATTTTATGATTAAAAAAGCATGTGTTCTAGAATAGCCTTTATTTCATTTTAAATGCTTAAACTTCGCCCTGTCGATTTATATGTTAAAGGACATTAGGCGATTATTAATAAATACACTATTTTTTCTTTAGAATTACTAAAAATATGTATATATATTTTACGAATATATGCATATGATATATTAATAAAGCAATATGCTCTTCTTACTCGTTTATATAACAATAGTGCTTAGTTTGTTTCTTTTTCTTTTCTTAATCACCCTCATTCATATTCGTCACAATAATTTATATATTATATTTGCAGTTTTTTTCATTTCTGTCTCAACAATTGTTACAAAAGAGACATTGTTTCAATGTTATATTGCTGTTGCTAATACACTAGTTGTACCAAAAAATTCATCGTAGCACAGCATAAAATGGTATGAATTAAAATCTATTCAATTTGTATAGCGACAAAGATTTTATTGTCGACGCGAGTAGTCTGTATGCTAATCACATATATATATATACATATACATATATCTGTTCCAATGCAGATATATATTATATCACAATATTGTATGAGTTATATCTCATATTCTGTTTGTATCATCATGCAAATTAAAACTTGAAAAAAAAGCATGCAACAACGTCTTCTTGTAAAGTAGGTAAAACGATTAGAACGAAAATTGTGCGTTTGCTTTTTGTCTGATTAAAGATATATTTTTATAAAAATGATATGTTTATTATTTAGAAATGAAACAAATGTAATGGAATGCTATAAAAAAAAACGAAATCGTTAAATTAATTTAAGAATTTTTCATAGTTTATCATTATTACGTCTATTATATACTTGTCGGTGATATATCTGTATATTAAAAAAATTGATTGTAAATTTATAACACTAACGTTAACATCTGAAAATATAATTGTAGCTATTGTGTATGTACAGAATTGATCTAATTTGAAATCAAAGTCTTAAATAAATGTTTTGCATCCTATGTATCTTTCGTATTTTTTTCATATAAAATTTTCTATATTATTATTATTATTATATATAATACATCACAAATATTCATTGTATACAAAATTTTTAGTTTTATTTTTATAACATATTAAAATTTTTTTTTTTTTAAATATACACATTTTACACATAAAATATTTCTTATCTCAATAGGCGCTTTATGCGTAAAATATATTGAATACAAAAATTTTTATCAAGACTTGGTCGTATCTCGCGTAACATTATGTACGTGTGACAAACATCATAATAACTTGAATTTATATATGTATTGTGTAAATTATATAAAAAATTGATCATTTTTAAAATATATTTCTAGTATATTACTATTTCACAAATATACAATGTTATTTAATTTTTAGAATTATTAAATGAGATAAGTAAGTTCCGGATTCTATTTTTGTAATTCATGTGTCTTGATGTTTGATGATATCACCTTCAATATTGAGAGAAAAGAAATATATATAATTATATATATAATATAAATGTAAAGATAATAGTAAAATTCATATTTAGATATAAAACAATACATATATTCTCAGACGGCATACAACATCTATTGGACGTACATATATATGTATTGATTGTTAACTCCAGAGTCCAGTCATTTTATTTGTATTTTTAACTGCAATCATCATTGTTTATGTTAATGCTTGTATTCTTTCTGATCAAGTTCTCATTGGCTGTTTTTTTCTTATTTTTATTGATTTTTTTATTTGTTTGCTTTTATTTCAAATCCCGTTTTTTTCATCTGAAATTTAAACTCGTCTTCTTTACTATCTTCTGCATTTTGCTCATCTAATTTATGTTTCAATGATTTTCTCCTAACGGGTGCGTTAAATTCTTCCTTGTTCTTCGTAAGACGTTTAAACTTTTGGAATTCATGAAGTTTAACGCAAGAAGAATAAAATTTGGCTATTGCTGTGCCATCTGTCTTCATTCTATTTTCCCAATTTATAATCTCTGCCATATTTTTTAGGTCTATCGTTGCTTTATCACGTTCAGTCTCAATGTATTTTCTACTTTCTTCAATCATATTTAGAAGTAATTTCATTTTCTTGCAATAAATTGGCACATGACATTTCTCCAAAAATTCTTTCAACTACAAAATAAAAATATTAACTTAATATTTTCGATATATCTAATAATAAAAATTACTTCTAGTTTTTTAATTTTATTTTTTATATATACCTGTATTATACAAGGTGCATAGAGATCTGGAAAATATATTCCATGACTTTCACTTGCCGCATGTTCCAGTATAAGATGATAAATAGTTTCAATAATACTATCTTTGAAGCCATTTTCTATAAATTGTGATTTCGATACTCTCAAAATGCAAACAAGAGATATAGGTTTCATCGTAACTGTTTTATGCCTTTTATTAAAATCATAAGATTCCAGTATCTAAAAAAAATTTAATACAAAGTAACAGTATACCCTATGATTATAATTATCATTTAAAATTTGAAAACAATACCTCAAGAAGAAACGGTAAAATAGGTATAAACGTTCCGGTTTCTTTAGAAATGGTTATTAACATTTTTAAACAATGAAATCGCAATGGATAGTACTGCGCAGTTGGATTAATTTTTATTGTTCCTATAATAATCTATTAAAAAATTAAAACATTTTCTACTGAACTGTTACATTACTTTTATTGTGCTTGTCTTATTTAAGATATTTAATACCTGAACCAAGGGATATAACAGCGATCGCAACATTGATTTATCTTTTGACTTGGTTATTAATTCTGCCCAAAAGCGTAAAGAATTTATATACTGCCAATTATATACAGCTTGAAGATTTTTCTGAAAATAATAAAATGTTATTAATAAATTTTATAAAAAGAGTACATAATTGCTATTTAACAATTACCTTGTTCTTTAATGTTACAGCATTTCTTAAATCAATCGCTAATTGTCTGATATGTAAAAAGGCAAGACTGTACGAAGTATTATGGTCAAGTAGATAAATCTCGAGCAAAGATTGTCTCATGAAATTGATTCCTGGTAATGTGTCGAATGAAACAAATTTCACTGTTTGCACATATTTCTCATACATAGTCTAAAAAAACTTTAACGCTGGTGATCGTTGAAAAATATTTTCTTTATCATATCATATGGATCTTACCTCTAATAATTCGTCAAGCACAAATTTTTTGCTAGTTGCAATATGCAAGATATTTAAAAAAGCTATAATGCGAACAGTTTCTTCTGCAGCTGACCACAGCTTTAACAAGATCTTTAACAACGATTTAATTAAATATGAGAATGACTGGAAATAAGGCAACATTTGATGAAGATGCTTTAGGAGCACTGTGAGAACAGCATTATTGGACAATGCTATACTTTGTAATAGCTGCAGTGAAACAGGTATATTTATTAACATACATTATATGTATATAAACTATATTATGTGTGATAAATAAAGGATTTACCTATACATACCTTAATCAAATCAGATAAGTATAATTTCAAAATTTCTTGTATTTTTTCAAACTTTCTAGATTTATATATTTTCTGCGATTCTGCATCCAGTTGTAAAATATGTTTAAATGCATCAGGCAAATGTGTTATACATAATTGTACCACACTATTAAATGCTAAATGTAATTTTTGAAAAATTAATATACAATCATATTTAAAAAATAATTAATAATTTAAAATAAAATAAAACTAACTTGCACTTTCTTCTACTCTATATCGTGTAGATGCATCTAATGATACTGCAACATCATTCAAAGCTGCATGGAAGGCCTCTATAATACATTTAATAGTATTAAATGATCTAAAAAATATAATGCATAATTATTATTTTGTTATTAATTTAATGCAAAATAATCAAGAAAAAACTTACTGATTAGTTTGTATTTCTTGTTGCCAAGTTTTCAATAATTGCATAGTGACTTTTTTAGAGTTATTTTCGGTTTCTTTTAATGAAAAATCACTATCATAGCTAGTAATCTGTGTGTGGATATTTAATATTATTAAAAAGTATAAAAAATAGTTAAAATTATAATTATAAAAAACATACCTCTAAATTTTCTTTAGAAATGTGTCCATCATCCAAGTCTACTAAAGAATTGTCATCATCATTGTCACCTGAACTATCATGCTGTTCATTATCTTCATCTGCATAAAAAATATCACATAATTAAAGTTGTATTTAAAATATCAAATGAATTCTAATATTTTGAATCGTACCTGTGTTTTTATCTGTTTCATCACTATCTGCATTATTTTTGAAATCTTGTTCAAAGAATTCTATTGTAGTTAATTTGTTCAAATCTGTTTCTATTTTTTTTTTCTTAATAACTGCCCTTACTGTTCTTTCTTCTGATAACTTTTTAAGTGCCTGTTTCATTTTTTTCACTTTCATTTTTAGGATATATAAATTTCTTTGATTATGGTTTAACTAACCTAGGAAAAATTATTATAGATAAGTGGATTATGAATACAGACTATAATCAAAATATGACCAATACGTGAACGAAAATAAAAGAGATAAGCACGTGCATAACCTTTCCATTTCTTAATTCATTATTTTCAAATATTTTCAACAATTTTCAAGTAGTAACAATTATATATAATAGAAGTTTTGCTTTTTTTACCTCTGTATTCTTTACTAAATTATTCATACACAAAAATGTTAAATATATACATTTATAAATTTATTTTGCAATTGTCACATGTATGTATCCTAGCGATCCCAGCGAATGTCCACGATCGTATCGGTAATGTCCACAATTTTTTGGTTCGAATCTTCCCTATGTCTATGATTATCGATCCGTTAGACAAACAAAGACAGACAATCAATCGATTGTTGCTTTATAGTTTATATTTATATTTAAATGTTGTTTAAAAAAAAAATTTATAAATCTCTCTCTCTCTCTCTCTCTCTCTCTCTCTTTGATGACTTACAATTAAAAAGTTGATATGTTATACATTTTTTAGATAAAAATGCGACCTTGAATTTCGTTAAAAAGTTATTAGCACCCTATTTTTACAAAATTATTAAAAAATAATTATTAAGCGCATATGTCATTAAAAATCATAGAGAACTCTTCGTATCGTCAAAAAGAAGCAGAAATTATCATCAGAACTATTGTATCTAAAAATTAATTTTTCAAAAATTTTTAATTTTTTTTTTTCTATTCGACAATTTTTTTTACATATCAGGAACTCTAGGCAATCGCAAATTGAAGCTATTAAGCTGCTCAGAACTATTCGACCTCGAAATTCGATAAAAATGTTAGCACCCCATTTTTAAAAAATGTAAAAAAAATGTTTATTGAGCGGAACTCTTGTTATTAACTATAGGGAACTCTTCGTCTCGTCAAAAGGAAGTGGGAACTCTAATCAGAACTCCTGAGTACTATAGTTGGGGTGCTAATAACTTAACATACCCCATTTTCTTGATATAGAAAAGATAAAAGAAAATTATTTTTTAATATATATGATTTTACGTCACACGCTACTCACTATGATCATTTATTTTTAATATAAGTGATTACTCATTTTGACTACTTATGTATATATATTTTTTAATAATGTCAAATGCTGAGAGCGCGCGCGTAGCGCGCGCCTGTATTGTTCTAGTTTATAAAGAAAAGAGGACCGCCGATAAAATCGGCGGGGGGGATGGAGGGCCTCTCCAACTCGTTTGTACTAATTACTAATAACTATATATTTAGTAAGAACGGGCTAAGTTAACATAAAAAAAACAACTTCCTAATTCCATTTTAATTCGTGGAATTAATTTGTTTGAATATTTGATTTCAAGTTTCTTAAAAGTCAGCAATTTTCATTTCTCTATTAGAAGAGAGATATACAAAATTCAAAATTTTATTTTTGATAACTCATTAATAAATTTTGTATTAGTATTTTTCTGATTTCTCATATATTATGCATATACGTTTCTTTTCAAAAATAGATGATCTGAAAATCACTCTGTTCTGCATCCATTGAAAAGCCTTGTCGACCGATAAAATATCGGTCCAGTAGTTGTGTTCAGCAGGGAATGCCGCTTTGCAACTATCACAAAATTCGTGTAATAAAATTAGCTGTTAATTTGACTTGGATTTTAATATATAGGCAAATTTCTAGCAAATGGTCAATCACTGTATATTTTACCCTATATTATTATTTGAATGTTTAGCATATAAAGATCATAATATTTATTTCTGCTAAAACAATTTTTATTTATATTACCGGAATATAACGGTATAATATTAATGTTAACGTTAGTGTGATTCAAATATGAGCGGTAGTTGAGCACTTTTGGAAGACCAATCAAAACTGGTTATCTTATAGCGAGACTCTAGGCCTGTTCTTTTTCTCTGCACTATCTGAACTGGTGCACATAGAATGGAATTAGTTGAAATGAAACAAACATTTTATATGTATATATACAGTGCCGCGCACGCGCGAAAATGTCCGAGTTCCGTAACCGGCACGGTGCAAGCGACGCAATTGGGCGCGACGGCGATGATCATGCCGGCGACTGTCACTGTCACTGTAGACTGTACGTGTGATGTTTGCAGTTGCGGACTACTGACTTATGATTGCATCGCGTTTTCTCGTTGTGTCGTGTTTCACCAGCGTTTCTAACCTCGAATCATGGGCGACGCTGAACAAGACCCGGGTGACCGAATCGACGGCGACAATCAGAAGAATGATAAGATGTTTACTCTGAAGAAATGGAATGCCGTAGCAATGTGGAGCTGGGACGTCGAATGTGACACTTGTGCCATATGCAGAGTTCAGGTTATGGGTAAGTTACGTTTTGGTTATGTTTTCGTCAACTTCGCACCGTTTTTCGCACAGTTCTTTCTTCCCGCTGTTTTATCCATACCCGTTACGGAAAACTTTACGTTACGTTGATCATATAATCGTGCTGATATTTATACATATAAGAAAATTGATGTATTTATATCTTTTTTACTCCAAAACACAACAGCAAAACGTATTTCTTACGTCTGTTTCCACCCGAGTTTCTATCAATATAGATATATTTTAATCTCGGTTTAACCTTTTCCTCTTTATCTTTTTCTAATTCTAAAAATTAGAAAAGATTAAATTGAGATTAGGATTAAATATATATTGATGGAAGGGCACATCATGTTATGTCACAATAAAGGTTGACATTTTATGCCACATATATAATAATAGATATATATAACATAATCTGTAAATGATGACACACATATACACACTGCCTACAAAAGTCAACCAGAATCTATTATTTTCTAATCATAATGGAACATATAGATAGATGATCAAAGATTGCATTCAGTAGAATATTTTGTAACTGTTGGAAGTTTTCTTCATGCTGATTGGATTATACTTTTAGATCTAAGAATATATCCTTCAATCAAGGTGAAGAAAATTAAACATTTTGCTAAATGTGATCAAAATATAATTAACTTTCATCTTGATTTAACTTACCTTTTATTTTTTCTAATTCTTAATTTCAGAAAGATGAAGTTGAACCGAGGTTACAGTAAATCTATAGCAGAAACTTAGGTATAAGAAATTTACATAAGTGACAAGATTTGCTGTCGCGTTTTCTAATAAAAAAATATTTATTAATTCTTACTGCACAAAGTAATCATATATTATTAAACTCGATAGAGTTTACGATGAACACTTTATATATTATATATTTTTGATAGATTTAACTATCTAAGTTGTTGTACCATATTTATTTATTTGTGAAATGTAGAGTGCATTCTTTTTCACGCTAAATGTGCATAGTATATAATTTATCCTTTTTTAATATTTAGTGGATAACAAAAATAAAATTATATATGATATATATTATGTGTGAAACAGAATGTATTTCATAGATAACTTAAGTTGTATCATTTTTTTGCAAGTTGAAATGTGTGTATGTCATCATCAACACAAGATATAAAGAGCCTCCATGTTTTATTTATTATAATAATTGTATAGTGTTTCCTTTTAATTGAGAATCATATCATTAAATTGAAATTATAATTATTAAATATTATGCAGATCTTATATCGATTAATTGATAACTTTTGAAATCCAGATTATAAATCGCTGAACATTAAAAGATATTCTGTATTGTATATTAAGTAGCTTTATATTTTTAATAGTGATGTATAAATCATTTCAAAATTCGCGGATCAAGATACTGCTACTTTCGTGATAAATTGAATAATAAAAATCGTTACAATATTTTTATTTTGAAAAATACTTTTTGAAATATACTTATACCTTTAGCGCCAATTATCGATGAACTATGATTATTTATGTACGAAGTGAATATAAGTGAATATTTTGCTCTTCAGTAATTAGTACTATCTCAAGTAAAAGATATAAACGAAGTGTTTAATTATTGCTTGCAAGAGACTAATATATATATATATATATATATACGCATATATATATATATATATATGCGTATTTACTTAAAAAACTGCTTGAAAAATTTTTTTATATATAAATTTTATTTTTATTTAATTAGTAATTACTTTTGTAATTATGCATTTTTACTTAACAGAAAAAATGAAGAACATTGCTAATATAATATTATTACAAAAATATCAAAAGGGAAGGATAAAAAAATTAAAGCAACAATTTTGTTGCATAATGTATAATTTTATATATCTGTAGATAGTCTTAAAATTATACCACATAATAACTTACAAATTATTCGTAAACTTAACATGAGTATTAAATTATCAAAAATATTCTGCCATCATTGTGCTTTGGCAAATAGCTTATGAATAATTATGAATAAACGGCAGGTATTACTTACAGTGTGTAGCAACAAATATAAACAGTAAAATATAAGAAACAAAAAGAAATGCCGTGATTGGTCGTTGTACTACGAAGAAGAGTAATAATGTACATTCAATTTTCACATAAAACAAAATATTATGCACTTATTGCTTTACATGGTTATCAGAGTGAATCATACATTGAACTTCGCACAATCGTAAAAGAATGGTCTTTTGTTCGAATATTTATTTTCACAATTTTAATATGAGATTTTGCCATGGATTTTGGTTGAGCGATACTTTTACGCGAATATTAAAATGAGATTTTGCGCGCTGCAAACCACTATTGTGATACTAAGGTGTTCCAATGTTCATTGCCAGTGCTGTAAAATCTATAATACACATAATGTATACTAGAAAAAAACGAAAGTATCTAAAGTATCTAAAAATTTTTGTAAATAAAGATCTGAAAATAATTATGATGGACTATTAAAATAATTACATGGATATTTCTATCTTCTCAAGCATTATGAACAATTTTGCAAAAAGTTTTATCATTCTAATAACCAGTTTGAATATCCTACATAATTATTTAAATTACCCAACGAAATTATTTTCAGGTCTGTATCTAATTAAATTTTTTTATATTTCCGCAAAAATCGTTCTTTCCCGCATAGATTTTCAGTATTGGCTATGAATATCAGCACACAGTTTTGAAATGCAAGAGAGAAAAAAAAAACTACGAGAAACGTTCCACATGACGTTTTATCGTTCTTACACTTTTACCTATCAAACAAGATTCTCTACTAATGGAATCTTTCTAATCGGACGCACGCAACTACAAGCATATACTCTGATAAACTTATAAAAACGTATACTTGGTTTTCAACGTTTTCTAACGTATTCATCAGTTGTCGATTATGATATGCATTTAGTTTGCACCGTGCCAAACATATGGCGAGTGCAGTTCCGGTCACATGCAGTGGTTCGAAATAAACGATAAAAATAGAACTTACATATTTACATTGGCTATAAATTATTAAATGTTTAATTTTATATAGAAAATGCGATCGCTTGGCGTTGCAAAGTACAGTGCTGACATTTTTCGAACGCTTTAATTTTTTTAGATGTCCTCTAGAAATAAAAGAGTTTCTTAAAATTAATTTTGATTTATTTAATTTTTAAAGTCTTCCTTTATGAAAAATATATAAAATAGATTTTTTTTAGTGTGTATCTATACATAATTCTCTTTTTTTTACAATCTCAGACGTAAATTGTTGATAATAAATATATACAAATATGTATCAATAATTTATGTAAAATATACAATATATTCCTCTATATAATATAATATCTCTCACAATAATTTGACAGGGAATTATTCTCTATGAAATTACTTGACCGAAAACACTCGTCAAATGCTCGGCGCAGCTTTACTCAAACTTTCGAACATAGGCGACACGATTATATTGCATTTGTCTGAGGTTTTCCTCCAGCGTTACATATTCTTTCGTAACTTCCTAAGAACTTCATCTCGACTTTACAACTACGCTTCCATTTTTTCTAATTTTTCGTTTTAAAAATATATATCTGTTATGTATTATAACGCTTAAATTATCGTACGTTTAAAATCACATCTCACATTGATACAGCCATCCGATACCAAGCATCATTTGTTTAATACAAAGATTACGATAATACGGGCTGCTGGAATCATATCGTTCCACTTACGATCAATTTCTTCAATGCTGATTAACTACGATCATAGTTCAATTTTCATTGTTCCTCTCTATCTCTTTCTAAATTTCATCTAAAAATAAAAAAAAGGGGGGCAATATAGAAAAATAATTATCCAGTTACGATTGAAATTAACAACGATAATTTTTTTTGGACGTAGATAATATCACTATGGCGCAAATCTCTCCGACTATTTACAATTTGTAATTACTGCGACGAGAACGCGATTGGTTTTAAACGTTATTGTCGCATGAGAAATTCGCCTCTGTTCGAAAGACCAGTTTCTTGGTCGGTCATATAATGTATGTGTGTATATATGTATACATATATATAATATATATACATATACACATACATATATATATATAAGTATACACCAATACACACATATTACGCGTGCTTTTAATTCAAATTCAAGGTGCACGTGACGATTAATCGTATCACACAGAACCTATGCGATACCACAGCCCCACGCAAATTACGCTATAAAAAAAGAAACGCGCGCTCGCGGCGCGCGACTAGCGTTGACCTACGCGTACATCTCTAACGACAGTATTATCTGCTATACTCTAATAGAGCAGTATCAACTTGAGGTAGGCCCTGTAGGACTGTCGGGAATAATAAAAACAATTGCAACTACACACCTAGTCAACAGCTGATAGTCACACATTTTGCCATTTCCCCGATGGGAAAGCGTAACACATTTATATTTCACGAAGCTACTTAATTTGCCTCGCAATTTGGGTTCTCGACAAGATTGGCACTAACTTGTTAGCTGTGATCCTCGATTTGGATAGGAATATAATTAAAGCGAAATCTGCCGAAGTCTCTCATGTTTCACGAGGCTAATTGAAGAAGCGAATGAATGTATTTTTTTTCTTATACCGTAAGATTCTATTTAAAAATACAGTCGAGGAATTATTTTAATCAGCTTTTGTAAAATAGAGCTTTTCAGAAATCGCTCTTGCACTAAATTTTTTAATTGATAGAACTTTTCACGCAATTTGCCTCTTCAACTTGTTTAAAGAGATGTGACTTTTGTGAGAAGCACTTTTGATCGTGTATTTCTACATACTATTCAGATCTACGACCAATTTCCATCTTTTATCGATTATTTCCGAATCGCTCTCGCTCAAACTTCATTATAACAAATAGATCTCGCGAAAGGGAGCCGAAGATCTTGGACATAAGAGTAAAGTAGGAAAAGCCAAGAAGGAAGAACGGACGCTTCTCTTAAATACAATAGAAGAGAATAATAATGACCTTCGAACCTGAACTTCCCTTCGAATTTCCCTTTAAGGGAAAGCATATCTGTAAGGGAATCTTTCCCTTAGAAGGACACCGTAAGGAGTCCTATTTTTTACTCGAACGAGTTTCTTTATCGCTAGTCGCGATTGGAAGTTGAGCAGCTAGCACGACATCGGCGTCGGTTTCATATTGGCGACTGCGCTCATCCTTCGAGTTGGACCTGTGAATCTCTTCTCGATCTCCTCGAGCGACCTGCCGCGGGTCTCTGGCACACTGATGATTACGAAGACAAAGCCCACCGCGACGATTATGCCGAACATCCAGAAGGTGCCATGCGCACCGATCACTCCTATGACATCCTGGAAGGTTTTCGTTACGATGAAGGTGCACGTCCAATTAAAGGCGGTCGCGATGCTCGCTGCGGAACCGCGGATCCTGGCGGGTAGGATCTCACCCATCATCAGCCAAGGAATAGCTCCGAAGCCCAGGGAGAAGCCAATTACGTACACGATCAAACTGACCAGCGGCAACCAGCCGAAGGCCGTCACGTCCATGTCCATCGACTTCACGTAGAAGAATCCACCAAGAGAGAAGAGGGTCAGGGACATCAATATGGAGCTTATGTACAGCAGCATCTTCCTGCCCAACTTGTCGATCACAAACGAAGCGACAAAGGTGGATATGAAATTCACTATTCCAATGATTATAGTCGAGAGATTCTCATCGATTGTGCTACCAGCGTCCTGAAAAAAAATGTTCGTTGATTATTAGGTATGTGTCGGATTGCGTTTCTCAAAATTCGAAGATTTTTTTTGGCATCTATTTCGTGCATTCGTTCATTACTTTATTTTCGTGGTTTAATTAGAGAATTATGTAGTTAAAAGTTATTGGAATATTGGACTTGGAAGTCAGTAGAGAAATGTAACTGATTAATACAATACAATACGTACTCGGAAGATCTGCACCGTATAGAATATCACTGCGTTGATGCCAGACATTTGTTGGAACAGCATCAGGCCCAAACAAATGAGGAGAGGTCTTAAGTGTTTACTCTTCATTAACTCCGAGATCATATTTTGAGAGACATTTCGCTCGCTGTCGAGGTATTCTTGATGTATTTTCTCGATCATAGTCAATTCGTCCGTTATGTCTGTGTCTTTACCGCGCAACCATTGAAGAGATTTTCGGGACAGCTTTGTTTTCCCCTTAGAAATGTACCATCTTGGCGTCTCCGGAATTATGAACATTAAAATTAAGAATGGTAGTGGTAAACTTGCCCCTAGCAGCGCTAGATTTCTCCAATCCATATACATACCCGCTATGAAGCATAGTAATATTCCTGCACATTGAATATGAAATCTTTATGAGTTTATGAGACATACTTCATAAACATATGTTATACAATATATGTATATATACTTATTTTTATATTTAAACAACATTCACAAGTTTAAATATTTAAATGTCGTATTAATTTTGTTATCGAGTAAATAAGAGTAAATAGCATATTTAATATTTCTTCTATATTAATATTTCTTGATAACGTTTTAATAAAAAATTACGAAGCTTCCTTCTATGAATGGTTACCAAAATGGATACCAAATTCAGACATTATGAGGAAATTTTAGTAACGAACACGCACACATATAAATCGATAGTAAAATTAAATTTTTTATTTCACTTACCGAAATTACCAAAAACGGTGGGCATTAAACCAAGAGTACCACGCACTTCTGGTTGTATCGTTTCGCCTAAGTACACAGGAAACGCTAAAGAGGTAATGCCTACGGCAAAACCGCATAACGCGCGTCCAGCCAATATCATCGGAACATTTTGAGCCATCGCGATTAAGATCCACGCTGTAACAAATATTATATCATTATATTGTAATACGATCTACTATTTACTTGCAACAGTATTCAAGATATAAGGGAGACACGATGATGTAACTAATTTAAATAATTTGATGATAGATAGTGTGATATAGGAATTAACGTTATTTATTACGATAGTTCGCTCTCATTATACGTCTCAATACATTATATCTCAGTATGTAAAGTTTTTTTATGCTATTTATGCTTCGATAATCTTACCTCCGATAAATGGGAATGATGTAGCAAGTAATGTCTTTTTCCTTCCTATATATTCGATGAGCGGTCCTCCAGCAATGCCACCGACAAGTGCACTCAATGGCATAAGTGACCCAATCCACATGCTCTGTGATATAAAAAAAATTGGAATTATATACATATATAAATATGGTATATAATTTATAAAATTCTACAATTAATTTAAAACAGATTTTTCTGAGACATTATTATTTATTAAAAATTTCTAATTGTCAATTAATTAATTTAATATCAAACCGAACATCTAAAGTTACTTGAAATTAATTGCACAATATTCTTTTCGTGTGCATATAAGTGATATTAAAAATTTAATACACTTCTACCTGAATGTATTATATAATGTCTGAAATTTTTAATTAAAATTTTTTTTTCGAAAAGCCGATCCGTGTATTATGTGTAATCGTTAAAATTATTATTGCTACGTACAGAAGTGATTCAGGATTGAAAAAGATTTAGATCGATTGTATGTCATGCGCCGCATATCAATAATCCTCGATCATTTAAATTCATCGTTCGAATAACAGTCGTGTGTACTAAAGCATAGTTTTATTCATCGTAGATCCTTCGAATACAAATAAGGTCGGGAAGCCGCAAAATGTCAAGGAAAACAATTGCGAAGGGCAATCATTTTGGTTGCTCATTTGTTGTCATGTGTTTTAATCAAGTTACCGCAACGCAGAAATGAATTACGAAATCTTCATTACAATTGAAATCATTAAACGCAGAACATTTTTTATAATGTTATTATAAAATCAAGTTGGTAATGATTTTACAATTAATATGATATATGTGAAATATTATTTCAAGTAATTATTAGAATATAATTAAACCTCTTCATTAGAAGATTTTAAATATTTGTATTATGTATGTAATTTAACAAAATATATGTATTTAGTAATATATTATTTTAGAGATAGGTATTACAAAAATAAATTCGTACAATCAGTAATTATGTTTTCCTATTTTATCAATGGAAACAAAAATATATTTGATATTGAAGATTAAAAATACTTAAATGTTAGTATATATTATAAAATATTACTGCACATAGAAAGAGTTAAACATTTCACTCAGAGTAATCTTTAATATAAACGAATAATTATTATGATACAGGAAAAACATTATAATTTTCAAATACAACGTGTATGATATATACCTCTTTAAGCAATTAATTATATTTTAGCATATTAAAAAATATTAAATGTAATATTTTATTGCCTTTTCGCTCTCAAAACGAGTTTCCTGAAACAAATATCCTAACATCACGGCTTGTGCAAGGCTCACTTTTGAATGCGGAAGCATTTTATTTACGCTCGCTTACATATCTGGCATCAATTTCCGATATCGTCACAATGTTGAGGCCTTATGACGAAGTCGGTGTGTCCGACAAGATGACCAATCGCGTTCGCGGCCACTGGGGCACAACGGCTCCTTCGCCAATACGATTGCAATCAGGTCATCGTGCCCCTGACCAGGCACCAATGACGCACTTGAGGTTAAACCTTTTAATTATCCATTGACCCTTTGAATAACGAAGGTCGTACCTTTTCATACGCATGCGTAGATCGCGATAATTTACAAGTGACGCGTTTACATCGTTTGTCATCGGCGCTTAACTTCGGCTTCCACTTTGTATTGATCCGCAACGCATCGCCGATAAACAATTCCGTCGGATTTTTCCTTGACATCATAAATCTAATTAAAATGTCTTTAAACGGGCACTGAAACACTATTGTAATATCTGTTTGTGATGTAGAAATAAAGAAAATGATGTCCTGAATATCGGTTTGGCATTCTCTGGTAATTTCATACAAAAGATGTAAATAGTAAAATTAGTCGTTAAAAATTATATTCATATAGATATAAAACGTAGCTACTGATTAAAATACAAATCAGATAAAAATATCTCAAGCGATTTTGAAAAGAAACTTCTTGATTCCGCAAAAAAATACAACAATGAGTTACGATCAACTAGTTATTAGGCCTATGTTACATTTGTCGTACGACAAAGCATTTCAAGCCTATATTGATTAACTACAAGAAAGAGAAATTGTCGGATCTCTCTGTCCTATAGTCAATCAATAAACTTAAAATCTTTGTCATACAACAAATGTAGTATATTAGCCTTATAGTTGTTCTTACGTTGCTGATAAACGCGCAGCTTAACATATATAATCGGCAATTTAGATGCTCAAGAAACCGTGTCCGATTCCCACAATCTTCCACTTCCGACAAAATCAGATTTGTATGATTTCATGGTCGAGATTTCATGGTACGATTTCATGGTTCGATTGCGACTTTATTTTGAAACTTTTATAAATACGTTTATCGGAGATCGCTTCTCTACGTAGCTTTTGTAAACTTGGCGAATTCTACAAATACACGGATGTATATAAAATATGTGCTTAATAAAATACGCGATTTGTCTTTCTATAAAATAAATTTGCCTCGTAGTAAGACTTTATGGACTGAATTATATTAAAAGAATGTCAGTAGTTACTGGACTCACCATCTGTTTGGTGACTTCGAAGCTCGCTGTGGCGTTATCACGCATAGACACCAGCGCTGGCGATGTATAGGAAGATGAATAGCCGACTTGGAACGAACCTAACGACACCGATAATGCAGCTAATACCTGCAAACAGATTATAAACCATATGAAAAATGTACGAAGGTCTAAACGTGAATTTTTGACTTTATAGCATACATATTTACAAATTAAAAACCTTTAAATCTTATTGGAAGACTAATGAGTCAATTCGAAGTAGAATCATAAGGCTCGTAACTTGTTTTTGTAAGACTTATAAGAATTTGTGACTTAAGTTGTAATTCTATGCATACAATACAGTCATTCGTAAATATCTATGATTTCTCGTAAATCTTACAGCTAGTAAGAAGCTCTTTGTACAAATATAATACTATGTAAATTTTAAGCATTTCAATCATAAGTTCTTACAAAAAAGTCTTACTCTGAGAACGAAGTTATGACTCTGCGTAAAATTGTTTATAAATATGTCGGAATAAATGCAATTTTAAATCTATCGTGAAGAAAAGAAACATAAAAATTGCGAGGATATTTAAATATTTTTATGGGTTTTGTTGTCGAGTACATTTCCTTTGCATGCAATTATTGTTTATGCAGAATCTATTTTAAAATAGCAAACAGTCATAATCGATACAATAATTTAATTGATATTCGATCAATTGTATGATTTGCGTCATAGAAATCATGCCGAAAAAGATTACGACATTCACGTAGAAAATATCAGTTCTATTATTTTCGCAATCCTCTTATATATTCAAACATGGCTGTTTATTTATAGTATACAAAATCTTAAATATAATTAATAAAAATTATAGTGCAACGGGCGAAGAAATTCTTCTTGGAAAAAAGTAAAAAATACTGACTAAATTTGTTAGCAATTGCACAATTTTTAAGAAAAATTATGTTTATTTTATTATAATTGTATGCCAATCATAATATTATATCATATGCTAATAGAATTTTTTATAATTATTATTTATGAAATTACATTATTATTATTAATTCTAGAAGTACAACAATGTATTCAAGATCATTATAATTTTAGAGAAATAAAACTAAAATGATTTTAATAATTAGTATTATAAGTAAAGTGCATAATTACATAAATTCTGATATTATTGTACATAACATTTATTAATTTTGATCCAAGATCTACATCAAGATTATTCTTGAAAATTATACAGAATATTATCATTTTTACTCGCTTTAATATGGTATATATTCAGGGAATGGAAGTAACTCGTTACTTGTAACGAAGTTACAGTTACAAGTTACTTTTTTGGTAACTTTACTGGTAACTGCGTTACTTTCTTTTTTTGGTAACTGTAACGGTAACGAGTTACATTTTTTGGGTAACGGTAACGAAATTTACAGTTACTTTTGTCGTTACTTTGCACACGATTGAACACGGTTCGATTGGATACATGCTATTTATAGCGCTTATCAATAAGACTTGAAAGCCCTTAGACATTCGGCCGTTATGATTCAGTAATTATTTTACACTTCTATCTTCTATGTAATACATAGGACATACAAATATTTCAGTTTGCTGCATATTTTACAGGTTTTAGAATTACAAAATTGTGTTTAAAAAAAATTAAAAAATAAATTAAATAATAGTAAAATGAGAAGGGCTATGAACCCAAAAGCGAAACAGTTTAAAAGACGATGACAATAAGTGTCGAAACGTCGTTTGTTTTTATCTTGTTTTATCTATGTATTGTTCTAATATATATTTATACATTTAATTACATTCATCGTCGTTGTTATCGGAAATAAACTGTTTCATTATTGGCTCGTAACCCTTCTCATTTTACTTTTATTTAATTTATTATTTGAGTCATTCTACATTGTTTTTTTTTTTTTTTTTTAAATAAAACTATATATTTGTCAGTATTACATATAAAAAAAATGCAAAAGTACATTTTTAAATTGATTTAAAAAAAGTAACGGAAAAGTAACGAAAAGTTATTTTTCAAGTAACGGTAACTGTAACGAGTTACTTTTAAAAAGTAACTTTCCATTCCCTGTATATATTATTTATTATAATATTATTTATTATGATAATTTGTATATTAATATGATCTGTTTCTATTAATAGATATTTTGCAAAAGTTATAAAGATAAGTAAAAATAAATATAATAGGTAAAAGAGTAAAAAAAATGTGTTTTAACACAAGAAACAGATCATATTAATATACAAATTATCATAATAAATAATATCATAATAAATAATATATACCATATTAAAGCGAGTAAAAATGATAATATTAACAATGATAAGTTAACAATTGTTAACTTTAAACAAATTAAAAAAATCTTTATAGGATACAATAAAGAAAAAATTTTCGGTTAACTTTTTACCTGAGTAATCGTGCATTTCGCTGCAGGCGTATTTATCGGCAACTCGATGTTTACATGAGTATCCGCCCGCAGAAGAAGTTTCATGATTACGAATATGAATCGAGAAACCTATTATGACACTATTTTGTAATTTCGATTGCAAACACAATTTTCCGATTAATGAAACTTTGATACGAATCTAACAAATCGTTTGTTTGATGAAACAGTATTATTCTCCAATATTACACGTGAAAACCACTACAATTTCGCGATGGAAATCAGAATTGTAAATTTCGAAAATTTTCGAAATATATTTCGGATGTTGTCTGAGTATCAATAAGATAAACTGACAATAAAAACGGATTTATTTTGATTAGAGGCTCTTTAATTCTAATAGAAAATCTGTCCAAATTATAGAGAACATCGCATTACTGCTTATTTCGTTGAGTAACGATGATATTCAGTTTAATAGATCGATTCCGAAAGTCCGTAACTCAAAAACTCGCGTTCATATATCAGGGTTACAAATCTAGGTTTCGGTAAACGTGGTTGTGAAAAAACCGCGTCTTGACCCTTCAAAAGTCTCAAACCGTGTTTGGGACAAGAGATGAGAACTCACTCCTATATGAATCGGATACCGATATTGATTTGGCTGAATCGATAATTTAAAAAAATGGATATCAATCGCACGCTGGTGCGAGTAGAAGTCTTCAATGTCACAGTATAATACAAACTATTGATACTTATGGACCGCGTCGGGTGATTTTATATAGAGAGCAATGCTGGGGGCCGGCCATCCCTTCCCCTCGCAAGTCACGTCGTTGAAAACTTCGTAGAGCACTACTCCCATATCAGATGATCGCAGATACGTCAATTTGATAAGATGCCTCCGTTTCGCGCCGTCGAGACGACACGCGATTCCAATTTCGAGCGAGAGAATAAAAAGGAGCACATGTATGTTTCAGCATAGATTTTTCTGGAGTAATTTTGAAAAAAAAAACAACCAATCGTTTTTGGACCCACAATGTATCCGCGTTTTCGAGAATTATGATTTTTTTACATATAAAAAATGACTTATCATTTTTTTCTATGCTCACAGCCATATTGTTTTTTCGATCTTTGGGACTCAAATTTGATCGGCTGCTTACTGCGCATTTGCGGAAATGTTACACGTATTTTATTACATCATCATAATCTCATTAATATATTTTCTGTATTTGTATTCTACTTGAAACATTTTACACTATATTTCTAAATATTTAAAATAGAAGCAACAGAATAATGCAAATCACAAATTTCGATGGATTGCAAAAATACCAAGATATTTATTTAATTATTCAACATATTTTACGAAAATGACTATCATAAAATAACTACAAAAATTACTATTAGAAACAAGTATTGAAGAATGCATAAATTATACATATTTATATTCACGCTTCACTTTTATACTTAAAGTGTGCACATTTATTTTTTATTCTATAGTACATGTAATGTAAACTATGTAGGTATATTAAAATGTATATTTATCTATAAAAATAAGGTGTGAATATAAATCCTTTATGTACTAATATAATATAGGTACAGAGTGTTTCGAAATTCGAGATAATATTTTATGAAAGTGTGAAACTTGGTCAAAAATTAAATGATAAAAGTGCAAGCTATTTTTTTTGTAAAGTAGTTTTTTAAGTATAAATGGCTAAAATTTAAGTAATAATAAGTGTTAGTTAAAAAGTTATCTATCCACGGAATAGTGTATATGCAGCGGCAACGTTTTGTTCAGTTTACACAGATAACTTTTTAACTAATGTTTATGATTAGTCAAATTTTAAACATTTATATAATACTTAAAAACCTACTTTATGAAGAAAAAAATAGCATGCACACTTTTATTACTTATTTTTTTTTTATGAAATTTCGTTCTGTCATATTGTCTTCGAATTTCGGGACATTCTGTGTGTATAATCTTTGTTTATATATACTATATTCTTTTGATATATTATGTTTGCTCAATCAATAAAGACTAGACATACGTAGTATATAATCTTTGTTTATATATACTGTATTCTTTTGATATATTATGTTTACAGTATCAATAAAGACTAGACTGATAATAAACAGTTTGTTATTACAGCATACAATGTGTATACTGTATCAATAAAGACTTAAGTATTTTATTATTCATTCAATCAGTTCGCTATTTAACACGATAACAAGAACATTATTCTAAGTGTGTCTATCAATTTGGTAATCAATATTAAAACTGGTTATTCGTTTTCCTATTTCCTTTATATGTCGATTAAGATTATTACTATCTTATTAACTGCAACGAAATTGTTAGTAGCTAAAAATTTCATTAGCATTTTCATAATAATATTGAAATATTTTTTGTCAATATATTGATACATATTGTTGTATTCATATATAAGATATTCATCATTAAACACACATCATTTTTATATTTCGAATTCTTTAGCTATTTTTTTCATTATTATATATATAATATATATGACAAGTAAATATGAAACGGCCAAATGACAGTCAAGCAGGATTTTGGTTGCTAAATTAATGTGTGAATTTTATTTACTACATATGTAGTTCTCTTAATCGCGTGCCGAAAATTCTTCAGACTTACAACGCAACTCTAAACAACTACCGTAGTAATATCACAAAGTTTGGCGTTAAATTGACAAACAATCTAACAATTTTGATGCTTATAGTATCTTATTAGATCTTTAATAAATATTAAAATTTTTTTAAACGATGTAATGTTAAAGTACTAATGATTCGAAATCTGCGAAAAATTAAGATTGCAAAGAATATCACAAGTTTGGCGTTTCGTCCCGGCTCCCACTACTAGACTCATCAGTAAGGTAATGTAGTGGGAGCCTACCTTAGACGCCTGGGGGAGATATTAGAAAGAAGTTCTATATAAACATATACTCGTGTCTTTTCGCACTTGCGAGAAATGGCAACGAGTAACTATAGACCTCTGTTGGCTTGGTCGACGTAATGATATTCTTTACAATGCTCTATAATATATATATAATGACGCGCTGTAATAATTGTTTCATTCAATATCTAAATTTTAATAAGCTTTTAAAATTAAAATCTAGAACATTTAATATATTTCTCAATTTTTTAATTTCACAAGTATAAATGTTAATCCGTAATCATTTTTGCTTCTGTTTACACAAGCAAAAGATCTTTTTATTGTAATTCATTATATCTTGTTTGCGTGTAGATTTAAATGTGCCATGTTATTTCGATTATTGATTATTATAATTAATGCTGATATACAATATTTTCATTCATTATAGTCTATTAGATTTTAGCGAGAAAACTTGATAAATACTGCAAATAATTACAGCTACAGTTACTTTTAATACATGCATAGCGGGAATACGATTGTTTATGTAATAAAGGTTGATTTCTTGCTCGATAAATGTTCATCGTTTTATGGCGTAGAACACGTTTTATTAGATATGAAGGTATTTTTTCACATGTCGCCTTTTTGTTGAACTGTGTAAATGTTAAATTAGTTATACCAGTACATAAATATATAAATACGCGAAGAAATACATTCTAATACATGGAAAAATAGAAATATAAAAACAATTTTAAAGATATATGATTTAAGGACAAAAAATATTTCGAAACTTGGATATTTTATGAGTCTAGCTTTTGCGTAGAATTGTTAATATATTGTATGAATGTCACAAACATTGCTAATGAATTATTATTACCACGTATTTTCGCATATTTTTATGTAATAATTTTTATCTATTTTTAAGTATAATTATAAACACAATTTACTTAAATAAATTTATCTTCAGCGTAAATACAAAGTAATATAATAATTAAGAAATGCTGACGGCGCCCATAATGCCATTGGCCATGAATGTCAATGGCAACCACAAGGAAAGTGTAGTGTTCAACGTTTTACAAGGTTTCGATATTCGTTACAGGGTTGCGTCTGCTTTTCATTCATTCTTTCTTGTTCTCGCACAATTGTTATTATGCCGATCATTTCGATTGCGTAATAGACGGCGTGCAATGATTAAACTGTAGGTACTCATATAATAGAACAAAATGTTTAAACGTTCTAATGTATGAATACTCTATTAATTTCACTACAACAAGAATTATCCCAACTTTATATAAATATTAAGAAAAATCCTTTGAGTTTTTAGTTTTGTCCATTAAATCCATCTTTAATATATAAATATAAAAATTTAATATAAATGTGTAAATAGATATATACAATTTCATTAACTAATAAGAGGCTTTTGTATAATATAAATATAACGAATAATGTGTTATACGTATTTATTCCGATATCAATTATTAAATAATAATTTGTTAATTATTTTACGATGTATTACGAAATAACTTTTAGATTTTTGTATAAAAGTAGTTTTCATAGGAATGTGACTTTTTTGAAAAATGCATTACTTTTTAAAAAATGTGACATTTTAAAAGTTTTTAAAAACAGTTTTTAAATATAATTAATATAGGAAGAAAATTACATAAGTCCTGCAGATAGATAACGTGTTGTAACGTTTCAAATTTCCTCAACTACGCAAATGGGATGACGCATCGTCGGACCGTATGTGTGGTCATACTACTGAATTACATGGCACGTATCCTTAAGGATGTATCTGAGTCGTTTTTCCAAATGTATTAATACTTCAAACAAACTATGCATATATCATACTTACATTGAACAAAAATTTCTAAATCTAAGTAATTTTTTTTCTTGAATTCTTGAATAGTTTCAAGTAAAATTTATTTATTGCAAGTAAAAATTTAGTTTCAAATAAAAATTTATTTATTGCAAATAAAGAAATATTTACTTGAAACTATTTAGGAGGAAATATATAAGAGAACGTGAATTAATGATTCAGTTAAGACCTCATTAACCGTTACCGAAAAATTATCATTTTAAAATATCTCACAGATACATTCTTAAGGCTTCTGAGAGATCGCCGCGGCTGTATTGAATCATGACGTTATAAGCGACAAGTATTATGTTCATTTCTGTTACATTTGTAAATAAAGACAATATGGATAAAATGAAATGATGAGATCGTTTTAAAACACTTTTAAAAATAGGTCAAAGATGTCCTTCCCTCTTGACAATCAAATAGTCGTAAAAATCATGCGAAAGTGAAAAGTTACGCACGTGAAAGTGAATAGCTATGCATATCCATTGAGTAAACGTGTACCTCACATGTCTTTTACCATTTTTTATGATTATTTACTGACTGTCAGGGAGGATAAGGATAGCTTCCATCCATTTTGACAAGTGTTTTAAAGCGATGTCATTTCGTTTTATCCAAATTGTCTTTATTTGCACACGGCATATAATAAAAATTAACATGTCATTTCTCGCTTATGACATCACGATTCAGTATGGCCGCGGCGACTACTTAGAAGTTTTAAATCCAGCAGTCTATTCTCGAATGCGTGACTTCTACTAGTAAAGAAGGGGAAGAAAGATCTTTAATCAATAAATACAAAAAAAATACTTTATGATAATTGGATGTATTGTATTTTAACCGCAACTTAACTGCACTGGATGATTTAAGAAATAGTAGAAACACACTTGTCTCCATATATTGATATAGGTAACATTGTAGACACATATTATGCGCGAGGAACATGCGCGAATTTCTTCATATATTATTAGTTGCAAATATTGCTTATGAGATTGTTTTTGAACGTATTCTTAAGGGCGGGGGGCACAGAACCTTGCACAATGCATAACATATAATGCATAAGAAAATTAACCTTAGATTCCTTCATTTCCTTTCTTTCCTTGAAATAAAAGATTCCGATTGGTTGATTTTCTTGCTTTACATTGATCTTATATTATGTGTTATGCAAAGATCTGTATTGTGGTCTTTATTTTTTATTTTTGTCAATTGAGTTGCTAGTATATGTATACTCGTATATTGACAACATCCTGCCTTGCCGATTGAAATTCACATTTAAAAATAGGGTTTATAGAGTAAACAGTGCTATATCATTGATTAGTCGCAAACTTTCGCATTTGAAGAGCAAACTTTCAAAATGTATTTTATCATTCTAAAAATTTATAATTTTTAGAAAAGAAAAAAAGCAGAAGCTACACGTGCGAGAAAACTATGCACTTTACAGAAAATAATTATGTCAATCAAGTAGGATGTGACGTAAACAAAATACTGTAAACAAATTGCTGTAAACAATTGCTAAAAATGTACAACAAATGTATGTCGTATATTTTTAGTTAAAAAACATAATGCACGCACGCACACACACACACACACACACACACACACACACACACACACACACACACACACACACACACACACACACACACACACACACACATACTTCAGTATTATATTTTTAGTCTATATTTTTCCAGTACATGAATTAACGATAAAAAAATGTTCCTGAACATTTCAGAATAGCTTATATTGTATGTAATGAGTTTTTCAATATCTACTGAATACTATATCATCTTTAATTAAAAAAATAAAATTTTGAACAAAACGCATTTTAAAAATATGCTCGTTAATTGTTCTTAATTTTATAATTAATTTGTCAATAATAGGAAAAATTGTGCATTTTTACATTAAAAAAATAATCTATTTTGAATTGCTCAAAGAATTTAGTGTTAAAAAGAATTTTATATAAATTCATGAAATAGATGTGGTAACTTACCTGAGTGGCAAATCGTAATCGTGACGGCTTAGGTTCCTTCTGGAACTCCGAGGGCGACAGTCGGATGGGTTCCTGTGAGTCCTTTAGTACTTTCATGTCCGGAGGATCCATGAGGATGTTGATGCTTGAACTTTGTTCGCTCGGTAGCAGTGGATCTAATTGCTTGTAATCGACGTCTTGTTTTTTGTTGAGCGGATCATAAATCCGCGACCTATTCAAGGCCTTTTGATGATTGTTTCTCAAATTCTCGGCATAGTAGTGATTGGATCCTTTTTCGGTGTCGCCGGAAAAGTATCTTTTCTCGGTGATAAGAGCGGTCTGGCTGTTGAATGGACTGGTGTTCGTCACGAGAGTAGTGTTCGACGAACAGTCTAGAGTGGATCCAGAACTGGACGGCGACGGTCTGATGACCGGGGACACCTTCGGATATTTGGGTAAAACGCTGCGCTCCTGAAATATAAAATTATGATTTATAAACGATTTATCGGTCGAAGTTTGCATTTAAAAAATTGTGATCAAAGATGGACGTTATCAAAATGATCATTTGAACGAAAGAGAATGTTGACAAAACTTTCCTAACCAAAAAAAAAAAAAAACATGGACAGAATTTTTCTAGAAAGAAAATTTCTGTCCATGTTTCGAAATAAATTTTCTATAACGACAATAGGATCTTAAATCCAGTATTCAGTGTTGGAACGTATCAAAATACTTTAGCTGTACCTAAGTGCATTACCTAGATCCTTATAGATGGTGATATCTTTATCCTTATCTAGTTACCTTTTGGTACGGTATCTTTTAAATTTTAGATACATAGATACAAGGTATTTATATGCATTTACTGCCGCCACCATTAAATTAGATGTCTTCCAACGCTCATTGTTTTTACGAAACTCAAATGGTAACACTGACCGTGAAGCGCGAGTGGCCCAAATGGCGCGAGTGGCGTGAGTGGCGCAGCGCGCGATAATTCTCTATTCTATTTGATAACAATTGTAATAGATAACCTAAATAATTGTAAAAAAAAAAATGTATTTATTCTTATATCTCTCTAAATTTTTCCACTAATATATATATATATATATATCTATATCTCTAGATATCTTTAAATAGTAATATATATATAGTAATATATATATATATATATATATATATATATTAGGTAGTAATATATATTTATATATATGTATCTATATCTGGATACCTTTAGATACCTTTAGATAGCAATACCTAAAGATATTTTTAGATAGCTATATTTAGATACCTTTCAAATGGTATCTATTCCAACACTGCGCTTATATCTACAGAACACGAAATTTGCTATTTTTGTTTAATATGAGAAAATAAAATTATAGTAAAATTGTTACTGATTGCGGTCAGATAAATAATGTAAGATTTCTCTATTTATTTGAATAAAAAAAAAAATTTGTGAACGTATTTTGCAAGAATGGATGCAAATGTACGAGTTGAAACTGGAGATAACCGCTAGAGAGGAGTCAAACTGGATGTTACCAGACTTTGACTGTTCTCCTTTGCGAGTTTCACGAAAGTTTCACGTATAGTAAATAATTTTATATTATAAAAAACATTTTTAATCGAATTAATTCAATTGTTATTACAAAAAGAACTTATACTTTTTAAATATCAAGTATTAGATTTTTCTCTTTTTGAAATGTATATATTTTTGAAAATACATTTAAGTTTTACGCATTTTATTTTTAATTTTCTAATATGAACTGAATAATAAAAAATTGCAAAAATCTTTTCGTGTTTTTAACACGTTTTATTTTTCACAACACATTTACTTGTCTCTAACACAAATCACTTGGAAATTTATAAAATCACCGATTATTTTTGCGAGTGGATAAAAAACGTGTGAAATCTGCATAAAATAAGATAAACATATTCCTGGAAACTGTACACTAAGAAGATCACCGAATGTAAAATGGCAAGAACATATAAGAACTGCAAAAGGAAAGAGCAAGTAAAATGAACAAAATCACGTTACCGATCACCGAAGAACAAACGTCTGTTTAATCGGTTAGTTATTCATTCGAAGGTATGAAACATCAAAGTTGGACTATTTATACTGTTTTCAAGAATCACTTTATCAAATTGTTATGAAAATATGCTAGTAGAGAGGGAACAAATCGCGAGAAAAAATTAGAGGGTGAATAACGCCTGCACAAGCAGGCAGAGCAAGTGAGAATGAGAAAGGAAGGAAGAAAGAGTATGATTATCGATTGAACCAATAACGTAAAGTCAGTGGCAAAGAACCAAGTGATGATACCGGGTCGGAGATTAGATGACTTTTTTATCCCTGAGTGATAACCCGTATTGAACTCTATTACTAACGACGAGCACGCTGCTTTTGCGAATATTCCTGTTGACGCAATGTATTACATGATAAGAGAGTTATCGCGTTCGATCGTACAGCCAAAATCTCGAAATTATGACATTCTAGAATGAACAGTCTTGCGTAATAAACAATCGAACATCTATCTAAGAAACCGACGACGTCGAAAGAGATGAATGTATGTTCTTGCTAATGAACTATAATATTTTCGACATATTCCATTCCAATGATGTTATTTGTTCTCCGCTTTTTTTATAGGGTAACTTTGGCAAATACGCCGCAGAAAAAATAGAAAGAATGGGGATAATTTTCCGGCAACTTTATATTCTGTTACATGTCTTTATATTATATTAGTATTATGTTGTGATTTCAGGTTTTTATTAGTATTAATGAAATTATTGTAAGTTATATCGACTTGTCACTGTAATAAATAGCGTCATTGTAAATTATAATTTATATAAAAAGATTATTGTACAGGATGTGTAAAAGACTTAGTGGTTATTTCATAATACATAAATGTAGAAGAATATTAAAGCATGTTGTATAGCAAAATACAAGTATGCTTTGCTCTTGTATTCTTTGTTTAGTTTGTTGTCTTGTATATTCCCTACCTATTTAGGATATACGAATTTAAGTAGTGGACATTTTTAGCGGGCGGGATTTATGCCCAAAGCATACAAAGTGCGCAGATTGGATTTAATGCACTAAATGTAAATTGTAATCTAGGATGGTATGAATTAAATTTATCAAGACAAGAGTCAATTTCAGAATGTGGCAAGCAAAGAACAATATCATCCACATATCTGTAATAAAACGTTACTTTAAAATGAACATTGTTCAGTATCCAATCCTCCAAATCAACCATGACCAAATTAGCCACCACAGGTGACAAGGGCGAACCCATTGACGTGCCGAAGGTTTGTTTGTAAAATTGATTGTCGAAGGTAAAGTAGGTTGAATCCAAAATCATGTGAATGGCTTTTAAAAATTCTGTCTTCGGAAGACTGCACTTGTTGCTAACGAGATCCCATCTTTTAGATAGAGATTATTGCTAAATCTAATGGAATGTTGGTGAAAAGTGAAGTTGCATCTAGTGATACCAAACTATGTCCTGGATCTATTTTAATATTGTTTAATTTCTGTAACAATTGAAAACTATTATCTATGTGACTGTGTGATTTTGGTATGCTTACGATAATCAATTTATGTAAGTATTTGACCAGATTGTATAAAGAGCTATCTATAGAAGAGATAATCAATCTAAAATTATAACCAGCGGTGGACTCACATTACCTGTCATATTTGTTTTAATTTATTCATTAATTTGTATTAATTCATGAGTCGTTAACCAAACTTTAATAGATTTGTGTTAGTTTATACTTTCTTTTATAATAAATAATACTTAATAAATTAAATTTTTGTCAGATGCGGCGTATACACCGGAGTTACCCTATTTGTCTCTTTTAAACGATTAACACGATATGATGGACTTTAACTTTTATTTTTTTTAAATATAAAAGTCACCTTCAATAAAAAATAAATAGTAGCGAAATATTAGTTTTTATTAGTGAAATATTAGGTAGCGAAATATCGATCCAATGATAGTCAAGTTATTGGAGCGAGAAATTTAAATTAATTGAAACGCACTTAAATGTGATCAGACGTCTCACTTTGTTTCACTGTTTCGCGTTAAACATATCAAAATGTGAGAAAGAGAGAGATAATGATTGTATTATTAACAAAAATTATTATTTACATCTATATTCATATATTCTTTTTCATCCCCCAAAAGTTGTTTCTCTTTAAATCCGAAAATGTTTGGTCACATTAGACATATTTAAAGAGACTTAATTAATAAGTCAGGAATATTTGTTTATTTATAATTTCTTATTTAAAGAAAATATTTAAAGAAAAAGACGGACGGCTAAAAATTATTATAACGCATAAACTGCTATATTTTTCACTGAACAGAAAAAAGACACACACTTATAAAAATTCACAAGTTATTCTTATATCAGTAATCATCTCTTTTATTTATTTTATACTACACTAAACAAAAAATTTAATATTTGAGCGATTTTGAAATTTAAGGCGTAATAACTCCAATTCTGTATGATGATATTATTTGAGCAGAATTATTTTTAATTTTATATCTTATGATTTCTCTTAATTTGATAAAAATAATTCTCTAAATCAAATTTGTTATTATTTTATAAAATTGTCAGTAAAGTTTAACTATTAATTTTACATGTGTAATATAACAGTAGGTACAATATAATTCTGTATTTGATAGATCATAAAAACATTTTTACGCCAATTAAAATCCAGCTATACTTTTAATGTTTTTATAAAAATTATATGCATATACACAAAATGAAGTCACTGCAATGGTATCTATTTTTTGCTAAATTTATGCATCTTAAAAATATAAATACTTGATAATGTAAAATTAATCGATCCTTGTTTCCACCAATGTAGATTAACTTTAATCTCGGTTTAACTTACTGTTCATTTTTTTTAATTTTTCAGTTTTTCTAGTTTTTATAACTAGAAAGAGACGATGAATAAGTTGAACCAAGATTAAAGTTAATCTACATTGGTGAAAATGGGCATTAATTAACGTTTTTTGCCATTTTTCTTTTTTCTTTTTCCTCTCTTTCTCTTTTTCTCTCTCTGTTATTTTTACTTTTATGATTGTACTCCTCATTGTACCTGTATCAACCAGAGAAGCATCTTATTTATAATCACAGGTCTTTATCATTTTTCATCGTAATTGTGATGTGATTTCTAATAAAATCTCGTTTTTAGCGTGTTCTATATCAGTGATATAATACTGAGAATAAATCAGTATGATAAAATCATTAAGTAGACACTCGAAATATTGATTTGCGTCCCTTATATTCCAAAAAAAGGCGTTATTAAATTTGACAATTTCAGTCTTGAAGGCTGAACATTAAAGCGGAACGTTGCATTACACGACAATCAGTCGAATATAAAAATTGTCCTAGAAGCAAGCTCTTGTCCAATTCAGTGTGAAGCATAATCATCGTTCTTTGTATGGATGTGTGATACGCTTCCCATTACATTGGTACAGCTATTATGTCGAAAAATCGTCTGTTTATCCCCCGGTTATCACGTGTCTTTTACATGCGAGGTAAAGTTCACATGTACGATATGAACTCTGACGTCTCTTGACGTAGTTGTCGGCTTGCTCTTTGGAATTCAGTTCTGTGTGTTTCTGTATATGAAAAAGTTCTAGTACGTTTATTATCAATTCACGAAAAAATATACGGGAATCATACATCGCCTGTATGATTAATAATTTACAATATCGCATTCTTTAGAATATTGTTTAAAAGATCAATACGATCTCATATATGAGGAGCGCATGGCATTTCTGATACATTATTAATTTTTTTTAAATTATTGTGCGATTCTAAAATAATTATTTTAAGGAAAATTTACTGAGAAATATAATTTCAAATCAATAAAACTTTTATTATCCTTTAGTAAGCTCTGTAAAATTAAATCTGTCGCACTAACATTGAAAATTCACTTAAAATTTATATTACAGCAATATATATATTAACATTTCTGATAAAATATGAGATATTTGGTGATATGATGTTTTGGTGATTAAATATGTGATGATAATATTCTTTAAAAAAATTTTTTTGTCATTGTATTAAGTGAAAGATTAATCTAATTGTTATGTTTTGTTAATTAGATAAGAATTATAATGAATCTTGTTAACGAGCAAGATGGAAAAATAACATTCAACTTTCTTTATATATAATTAACAACATTCGATCTGTCTTTCAAAGAGAAAGTAGTTTACTAAGGGCAGTAATAATATATATGTGACCTTTCTAGATATATGTATATGTTTCATTGTCCCTCGCATTTGCGCGTAATTTTCGCTACGATATGGTCGATCGATTAAATCAACTACGGCACAGTTACTCGACTTCGACGTTTGTTGACCAAGGGATAATTCCGTCGTAAACCGCTTCCGTATCAAATATTAGCTGAGATTTCTTTACGTTTGAGTTATGATTTCACCAAATAATGTAAGCTTTTCAACTGATTGATATTAAAAAAAAAATGTTTTTTTGGAAAGGATTACATTAGCATTTTACTTAAACAGCGTGGATATTATCAGATAAAATAAAGTTTTTTTTACCTGAACTAAAATCAAAAAGTCATTACGAAATTATTTAATGTTGTTAATTAACCATTTTTCTAATCTTTATTTTTTTTAATCTTATTATATTTAACAAAATTCTTCTATGTTAAAATGTTCATACGGTTAATCGTTTAATTTATAAATGTTTAAATGTTGTATCGTGTATATTTCCACAGACTTAATTTTGCGAGAGATTTTGTGTAATATTATGATATGTAAAAAAATTAAGTCGTGATTTTACGAATCATAAAATTTTTTCTTCTTTTGAAAAAAAGAGTCTACAAATAAAAATTAAGATTGTTAATATTTACATATCACTCGAAGTGTCATTTTATTTCAATTGCTATTACATTTTTAGGAAATAAAAATGATTATAAAATATGTGTGTATTTATAACATGAATATAGGTTAATTAAGTGTAAATTCTTATACATTTTGATCGTCGTATTATTTTTATAATAGTTTTTTAAAAGTGAAAAGCACAAAGATTATACAAATAAAAGATATATAAGGACGATAAATTTGGATCACACGAAATATGTCAGCATTATTCTTATATATTTGCGTTTTGTAACGTATTTGTCAGTTTTTGATTTAAAAAAAAATTCACTTTTTTGTCGACCAATCAAAGAAAAAAAAGTTTCATTTCGACTATGCAACTCTATGTAATTTTTGTCACGTGAAAAGCTAATCGGCCTTACAATTCAGAAGGAACGTTTCGCAACATGTGAAATACATTGTTACGTCATAGACATTACACATACATATGTACTATAATTGTATTATACTATATATACTAATGTACAGTTTGTATTGAACATCACCTGAATTACAGAAACCAATGATTGCTGTTTTATAATTTGATTTGAGGCAGCAACATGCATAAGATTCAATTTTCTTTGACATTTGGATTATACCGAGTGTTCGATAATACATGTTGTTCCGTTTATAGAATCTTAATCTATTTTTCCTTAATTGTTCGCTGAAATTCGTTATATATAATCTTTGTTTTTTTCATTCTTGTGACTATAAGATACTTTACAAGAAATTCTTTTTTTTTTTTTTAAATGCCTTATATATGAATATTTATTTACAATATTTATTCAAGGTTCATATATGATTGACAATTAAACAATTTTAAATTAAGTTAATGCAGTGTAACCAGAAATGGCTTGATTAAAATAAAAAATTACATATGAACATGATTTATTTTATCGATATTGAATATCAAATGATATTTGATACAATTGATGGAAGATTATTTGGGTAATAAAAATGTAAGGACATTGTGAAAAAATTTAAAAGATAATCTTGTCTTTCGAACTTGAACTTTTTTTAAAATATCTTTTGGAGATTTATTGTTTGAACTTCTTTCGTAGATGTTTGAGTCAATGATTTCCGGATGATAACGGCGGAAAATTTTCTGAATAATCTTGAATGCGAGTCTTCAACTACGTTACGCAAAGTTCTAACCGATAGTTCTCAGAAGAGATCGCTCATTTCTTTCTAAATTAGTCACACAACCCACGCAAAATATTTTTAGTGTTTTCCAATGTAGAATCTTTCGTACAAATGTTATTTCCTGTATCTTATGGGCATTTGCCAAAGTGATATATTTTGCTCGATGCTGTGTAGTGGATGCTTCGTCATTTTGTTCATAGTGTGAGAATGTATTTCTTTTTGTTACGCTTCTGATGTTGGTGTAGTGCTTTCGCGACATCATTTCAGAACCAATAACATCAGAATCAATCAGTGTATATAATTATATTAATAATTATGATAATATTTATATAGTGCAACAATGCTTTTCGAAATAACATAAATATTATAAAATTATTAAATAATTTATTTTATTGACAATTTTTATCGTAAAATTTTTTAAAGCTAATAATTCTGTTAATATATCTTGCCGTTATTAATCTAACAATTATTATATAGTAACTGGTCATATTTTATTATTTTTTGATTGAGTGCCGTTACAATTTGCTAAAGTTACTTTATATACATTTTTAATTATAGAATAAACAGTGCTAATATCATTTAACATTAAAATTCATTTTGAAAATAAAGTTTTAAAATGGCATTAATTTTTAATGAGGATAGCATACATAGTCATATATGTTGAAAATAACAAATTCATGTTAAATTCGAGTTCGCATTGACATAAACGCTATTTTAAAATTCCTTATAGATATCATTGTAGATATTATAGATAATATCATTATAGATATAGATAATAAGAGAGACAATAGTAGATGATGATTCGCGAAATTTTCAATTTAATTTACGTCACATAATGTGTCACATTGTTTTTAACTTTATGATCGTTTTCCGGAAATTGTAATTCTGTTTTTAATCCTTTGACACGCGCGTGACATGCTACGATGCGACCACGTGCCGCGTGAGTAGAAGCGTAGGAGTGAAAAGCGCAGCGTGCGCTACGAAATCATATCGTGCGCGATGTTGAAAAAATATGTCAAAAGATTACGCTAATAAAAATTATAATAAGAATAATATTGAATTATACTCCTATATACATATACTAAAGTGTGTAGATATATACGTATAAATTATGTTTACTGTTATTTTTGTAATTTTATATACTTGTTTTACGAACTTTAGATTGCATTATTGTCACCATTTCAGATATATACGTATTTTAAGTATGCTAAGGTAAATCACGTAATAAACGTTATACAATTGTTTTTTTCGCGATAGTTTGGAATTCATATCGTACATTGTACGTCTAAAACGCTTTTTCGCTTTTTTATAAAAAAATATTTAATATCTAAACATGAACCAAAAACATTAATAGATTTTATCTTCAAACATTTCGATATTACAAATGATACTTGCAATATGAGATGTAGGATCGTTATTGATTGTAAAATTAAAATTTTTTAATAGAAATTATTATAGAATAAGAAACAAGTTTTTTGCAGCTATTTAGAAAATCTGATGAATTCATGATTCATCAGCAAAAATTAATATCGAGCAATTTTTTTCATTGAAATTGAATTTTAATGAAAAACAATTTGTAAAACTGAACATGTGCAAAGGTTTAAACTTAATCGAATATATATTTAAACTTTCTATTGTGACAGTTTCGCAACTCTTAATTTTGAGTGAAATTCCTGATTTATTTTACGCTTCTCCTACCGCGACTTAAGTATAAGTAATATTCAAAGACAAAGAAAACTGTCTCAAGTTGGCAATGTCCTCTTAAAATAGTTTGTTGAGAAAAATAGAAGAATAATGAATGCAACGAATAATAAGAATTGAAGTTTCAGTACATTGCGCGGACGAGTTCTTTCCATTTTCATTATTCTCTACCCCTTGCATTTATATTATATCAGAATTCTAACCTGAAACATGTTCCAATTGACACTAATACTGAACTGGAATAATAAACTAATTAATGTCACGTAAAATTGTACAAGCCTTAAGAACTTTCATCAAATAATATACATATAACGTATATCTGTCGAATCTTTCTTTCTGTCATTAGATCTTCTCGTTCGCGCGACGCAAGTACAAGTGATAGCTATCCTTGCCCTTTTGCAGTGAGCGAAATTATTTCGTCATTTTTTGTAGGATGAAAAAACTGTTTTGGAACATTTTAGAGCAATGGTGGACGTACCAGCGGCGTAGGCGCTTGCGACGGTTGTTGCTGATGCATTTTAGCGCTGCGTCCGTAAGACAATTAACATGAAGATAAGTCGACTGCATTTCTCACGTCGTCCTGATCGAAATATATTATTTCGCGCATAGCGATATGGCGGGGTGAGAAGAATTAGTATAGGATGATAGTGACGATAGTGCATTGCGATATCTCAGTAGTCATTCGCTGGCAATTTATGACATGTTGTTATCGGGAGACGTGCAAATCCTATTATTATTTCCTATTTAGGGACATTTGAAAGTGTTGTAGAATTACGACGCACGTGAAATTGTAGTGCAATTCATTCGTGTTAGGAATGCCTCGTATGTAAAGTGACCCAAACGTGTATCTCTTCAAGCGTCAAAGGGTGGAAAAAGAGAAAAGATGTGACATTCTATCTAAAAGGCGACCATTGATGCCATATGACTTACATGCCGAAACATCTATAGATATAACAGGATTAGATGATATTCTTATAATAATGTCTATCTAATCTAATAGAATACAGTGATATCAAGTCATTTTACGTGCAATACTTCCTACATTGTGAAATGAAACTTGAACAAACGTACAAAATGCAGGCTGATGGATTTAACAACATGAAGTCTCGTTTCAGGAATTATCTCTCTCTCTCTCTCTCTCTCTCTCCTCTTTCTCTCCCTCTTTCTCTCTCTCTCTCTCTCTCGACGTATATTTTCAAACACATGATTAGCTTGTGACTGCCGTGTTATTATTGACTTTACGTATTATTTGTATATTTATTCTCGTAGATAAGCGGAACTTGTTTATCTCACGATACATCAAAATATTCAGAGGAGAGACGGTAATAAATTATTCATTTGATTTTAAAATTGGTGTCTGAATTTTTTTGACTGTTAAATAGACTGTCGTTATTGTTTGCTATTTCTATTCATTACAGAAGATTAATTAAGTCGTCAATTATAATTTATGCGCACATGACTATTTTGACAGTCGTGCCTATCTTGTCCTGAAGTTATGAATTTTCGCTCTGATTTTATCGAGCACTATTTCATTATTCGTATTGCACATATTCGTATTATCTCCTTAACGTTGATATACCAGCCAAACTAGCAGTGATATTAACCCCTTTTATATGTGGAGCGGCAACCCGTCTTGCATTCGAGTAGAACATACAACGCGCTCGGTTTATTAAATTGACAAGCGAGAATAGATACTACAGTTGCAACACCGAGTCGGTAATACATTCATCGCATTTTATCGACTGTCTCGATTGTTATTTTGCAATAATACTATTGCACGATGCATTCAATGTCTTGGATTCATATGAATAAAAATTTATCATGCATCTCGCGTATGTAAAATAATTATTGCATTTTTTCTTACTTATATTTAATTTTACTTGTTAAAAAAAATGCATGTTAATTCAAAATCAAATTCAATTTACCAAAAAAAGAATTTTAAATGTATTTATTTAAATATCTATATGGATTCAAATATAAAGAATAAATTATGACTTGAATTTCCATTGATAAGAATTCGTTAAATTATTCGTTTTTATTTTGAGCTACATATTTAGATGATTATAAAATCTCGGAGAAATATCGATAGGTCCTCCAAAGCACTATATATACTTCCTGCATTCATTCGATCCTTCAATCTTGACTTGAACTGTAAAAAGTGTATCGGACCTTCGTGAGAACACTCGGTTCAATTAATTCTTTTTTTTTTTCTTTATTCAAACGAACGAATGTCTGTGTACCTGTATGCGGCACCTCGTATATGTCCGTATACATTTTATTATCCACAATAGGATATACCTGTAGGTTTTCCGGTCGTCCTTGATATTTCAGACTGATTGACGCGTAGTTGCGGTATAAATCGCGAAGCGAACTTAAATTTGCCTGCGCTTTAACGCTATCTTAATTCTTGCCTACCTTGAGTCGGAGTATCGGTCAATAGCGTAGTATATGTGAAAATTAGATACATGTTTGAAAAACGATAACGCTTTATAGCCCGGCTCTTGTCGACATCGCACATCGCACCACGTGAAACGTGGGAACGGGATCCGAGCAGTTTCGAGAGTTAATGATAAAGTCGGATTTTTTTTTTCATCGTCAAATGATTTATTGATGCTTTCTATCAACATTACAAATGTGTGTAAGATGAAAAAAGAATGAAAGAAATTCGGAAAGAGTATCGATATTTTCCCTTCCTTAACTAATTATATTTTTCAGTAACAAAATATTATTACATTTCTCTTTTGAATCAATCAAATAAAATAATCAGATATGAATAGTAAATCATTTTTAATATTCGCTAATTTATGAATTTACTTTTAATTTATAGAACATTATGAATAAGTAAATAAAATTTCTTGATGATAATTATATGTGACTTATATTTGTACAACTGTATTTCAATCATTTTCAGTTGTTAAATAAAACGTAACAAATTTAGTGATAGTATGATTACATTTTTTGTTTGTTATCGTTGAATAGATATAAATATGAAAAAAAATACATAAAAAATGGAAAACTTAATAAAATGTAACTGTTGCAAATATTTCTTGATTTGTTTTTTCCTCTCGGATGCTTTTATCGATACTTCTTTTCCGATACAAATGCACTATGAATACACATCTTCCGATAAGTCAGGTATCGATATTTTTCGCTCGATATCCTGATCCTGAGGTAGATAAGCACTGAGCCATCCAGAAGGTGATCTATGAACACAACGATAGATTATTCAATCCCAACAGAGAGTTCGAGATCTTTCTGATGAATGATGATTGTTCTGCGGAATATCAATGTTGGTGCTGCTACAACAAGAACAGATCTGGGCAATTATTTACAGCACGAAATAAGAAACGTTTCAAACTTTAACATTGTAAATTTTAATTATAAAAAAGAAACGTAAAAGTAAATTATATATACATATAAAAGTTAAAAATAATAATTATATAAAAATGTAAAGAAAATTATATACGTATGATACGTAAATTTATTTATATGTATATGTATATATAAAACATTATTTTACTTCATACAATATTACATAAAACAATAAATTCATTAAAAAAAAAACAATTACTACTGCAATCATTAATATACCATTGTTATTATATAAAATTGTAATATTAGATAGTAATTACTTATTAATAATTTTTTCTTTAATCAAAAAATTAGCTTCGAGAAATTATTTCTCAATAGATTCATTAAAATGCAAAGAGTTTATTTGATCAAAAATTAAATAACGAAGGTATATTCATTTGAATACACGCAATCACACATTAATCAAATAAGATTTTATCTTAGTATAGAATAGCGAAAAGATTTCAATTTACTCAAAGCCCAGGACTGATCGATGGATTTGATCAGATTCAATCTAACTTAATTATTTCATTAGAACAATTCTCGAAAATCAGCCGGAATTTAATTTGACAGGCCCGCGTTTATCTTTCTTGATGAAATGCGTCGACGCGAAGAATCATGTCGCAGCTATTTTTAAACCGTCCGATATACAGGCTGTATCCGAAATATGGTTGATATGAGACAATATATTCCCGATTTGATTTCTCCAAAGAGATCACTAATTAAAAAGAAAGGCAAGACTTGTCTTCCACTTCTCCCACTTCTAGAAGAGAGGCGAGCAGAAGTAGCGTTTTTCCCACTTTTCTGTTATCTTCAATAAAATGAAATGTACACGCGATCCGCGATATACAATACTTTCGGAAATTTCCTCGTTCATTCCGTTACGTAACTCCTTGCGGACTACGCGCACCACACCCTGTACCCTGGAAAGGTACACGATAATCGGTCGGTGCAATTTTTTCTGAACTCTATCGTTTTCCGAGGGGACAATATCAATAACGCGGCGTCAACTGCCAGCCCACACGTGTAATCGATTATTTATTTTGATTTGACGAACCCAATTCATTTCTTTTTCTTCACATGGTCTTTCATGTATAATGATTCATCTCGCGTCTCGGCGCATATATTACGCTGTTTCTACGGAATGAACAATTACTATGGTTTCGTCCAACCTTATGCGCCGGTTGCGCGCGCACAGCGATCGATATTTTCGCGCGACGTAAGAGCTGCATACGAATGTCAGTTATCCGACGATCAGTGATCACCATCGTGAGCTATGAAATAACCGTGAATTCGTGCGAAACCACCACAATGAAGTTTCGCGCGAGCCGCGGCTTCGGTTGTCCCGTAAAGCCTTTCCCCGAGGGGACCGAAACCGGTATGGTTTCGGAGAGTCTGGGCGAGCCACGAAGATGAATTCGTTCGCGTCGAGTACGGAGCAGTTTCATGCTCCTTCGATACTCGCTACATCGAAAATCGGATGCGACAAAAAACCCTAATACACAAAAATCTGTCTGTTTCCAATTCCGATCTTTATACCTGTTCACGCTTTCCTCTGGTATTTTATAACGAGACGACAATTCGGTTGATAGCAATTCGATGTGCCTCTTTTACAGAAAGCCCGTGCTGTTTTAAGATCGTTTTGAATGATACCTAAAATCTGAACGTTTCTCTTCATTGCGAAAGCACGTAATGTAACGTAGCGCGATTTTGCGATCGAGAGGATCATTATAAGCCGTGACTTTCCGAGCCAACATGTGAGTCCCGCTTGTTAAATATAGAAGCCATAGTCGGGAATTGCAGGCACGAGACGATAAGAACGACGCAGGGAGACATCAAGATCGAGAATGTGCGAATCGAAATAAATGTGATAAATTAATCACGATAACAGTTCGATATCGCGACTTTTACGCGTCGAGATACGAGGCGGTAAAATGTTAGACCTTTCTCTTTTTACGGGAAATGAAGGCATAAAAAATTGCTGTACGATAAAAGTACGAGGGAAAAATTCGCGGTACCTATAATTTCAATGGCACAATTAATTAACGCATAGAAAGTCACGTCGCAATAATTCGCTCTTTTTCATAATCCATTTCTACGTTCCTTAAACTGAAAAAAATGTCATTGTTCGCGACCCAACAGTTTATCATCCTGTTTCCACCATAATGATATAGCTTAACTTTAATCTCGGTCCAATTAACTCATCTTTTTCTAAT